ATTTAAAAAACTAATGCTACACATCCGAGGTGGTGGGTGTGAAGGGGGGAAGGTGTAGTTTGTGTTACGACAGCCCGACATCTCAGGAATAAGGCCGGGTGTCCACCATCGAGGTAAATAATACAACTACCTGTGGAATGAAACCAAGGATGGTTTAACATCGAATGAGTTTGGAACCATCATCTACAAGTTTTTGTAGTCGTAGCTCCCTTTAAAAGAAGGAAAGTCCACACTAATTGTGTACAGCAATGGCTGTGGGTATCTAAAAACCGGAGCTCAAATTTGGCTAACGCGTTGCACTTTTCATGTACAAAAAATGTTACTGTGGAACGGAAGTACTTGGAAGTGGGTCAAACCCAAATGGAGGGTGACTCAATGCACTCTTTAATTGAGCGTATGCTCAAAAATAAATGTCCCAGCAAATTACAATGTTTGTAAACAAGCCAGGAAAAATCCAGCTGAGTTTGACGTTCATTTAAAAAAACTCATGTTTAAAAAAATTTTAAGCTCACCTATGTTTCTGACATTTGAGCTTTACAGTACAACCGTGAAGGAACTAGTAACTTTAAGTTCAACTTTTAAGAAGAATGGTAGCTCCTACCACAGCGGAAAATGGGAAAGTTGAAGTAACAGCATTTGAACATCTGCCAAACCTGTATAAAGAAAGGTCTATCATTTAAACACAACACCTAAAATCGGTTATTGCTGGGGACTACCATGATTTTATAACAATAGACCAGCAATGTAACTGAAGAAATTTTTAATTAATTTTATAGTCCTATTATATAGTATAGACTAAAGTAGAATTAATTAAAACACAATTTTTATTCTATGAAAAGTATTGTTTCTTTATTACTAGACCCATTTTACTCATTAGGCATACTGTAATTACTTTTATAGAAAAACTCTAATTTCCAATATATAAATCAAGAGAAACTAACTCATCCACTAAGAATATTACTTGTTATAAAAATTGTTTGTTCGTCTTAACAATGCTATTTACTTAGTTTATTATTGCTGTACTAGACTATCTTTTATGTTACATACATAAATGATGTAAGAATGGAAAAATGGGGGAATTAAATTAAACTATTGTCTGTGATAGTACTCGTATATAGACAATGACAATAACCATTATTATTATTGTTTCAATAGTGCGCCAGTTTGCTAAATCACCGCTAGGTGTCACCACCACCATACAGGTTCGCAGCAGTTCGCCAATTCACCGCTAGGTGTCTCAGGAGACTTACTGTCGTTCATTCATTTATCGTTCATTTTAATTGAATTAAATGCAATAAATGAACTTAGCTTCAAATAAACACAAAATAATCAAGTTATAAATTATAAACAACTGGTAGTGTTCAATCGGCGCAATGGTTTCATTCATAGCAAGGAAAATAATCGATCACATTACTGGAAACGTTTGAGTCTTTGTTGTTGATTTATTGTTTGTTGTCTTTTGTGTTGAAATGTTATACAGTATGTATTATGTGACTTGGAAATTAAACATTTTTAAAGACATAAATATACACATAATCATACATTATTTTAACTATACCTAAACACTGTTCACAATTCGTGTACAGTACGAGTTTATCTAACAGTGGCGGGGATGAGAGCCCTTCGGGCCCCCGCAGGTTTGTTCGCTGGGCCCCCTGTACCAATAATCTGTAAAACATTATCGCATGCATTACCGCCTAAACTTGCACTTTAGCTTAGCACGGCAACTCCCGAGGCACCGAGGGGTCATTGTCATCTGCCAAGATGGCGGCAAAATCGTGAATACTTCCCGTAGTCATGGGAGAAAGATTAGCCTATCATAGTCTACCGTGATTGCAATCAAACCTATGACCTATGACATCATCAGATAACAACATCATCGTCTCCCGCGTATACGTCCCAGTCCCTAATATCTCCCGCGACCCGTGGTGACGGTGAAATAACTTTTTCCGCAATCGCGGCAAAATCCTAGATATATCCCTCGCGGAAAAAGAAGCGTCATTAACTTATCGTCTTCCACAATTACGGCAAAATATTGCTCATGAACAATACATCAGATAAGTAAGTACACTTTTAACTAGGCTAATATAATGTGATAGGCCTAGAAAATAGAGTTAAGTTTGGTTTTTTCCCTATGCTGGTTTAAATGCGAAGTTTAATGTAACAACTAATCCTTCAGTTAAATGTTAACTAGATTTTAAACAAGAGAATGAACATGCATTTTTCACCTTACTATATACTCAAAATAATCAATAAATTATCGGGTTTAATTTGAGGGTTTAGCTATTGATCGTTTGAATCAGTTAAGCTTAAAATACTGGATTACTCAATAAAAAATCATAAGTTTGATTATTTTTCGGATACAATATTTATTTTAACGCTGCGGAACAGCATGGGTATAAATGAACAGTGTATAATTACTAAACATGAGTTGCGGGTCTAAAGTAGTTCTCTTGCTCCCTAGAAACAAAACGCCCTTTTAGTCCATAGGGAGAAAAAGTCAGCTGTTGTAAACTTCCACTTAAACAATCACATGTATCGAAATTATGAATTGACTGAGATTATTGGTTGTAGCTTATAGTTACCTTCTTTTTTGACATATCAATAGATGTTATCCAATAATATGTACACTAACACAGTCGCAATAGCCGAATTCATTGAATCGCCTACTTGTTTGTATTATCCTATTATCAAAATTAAAAACAATCAGGAATTAGTTCTGAGGGTTTATTTTTACATTTAATATCATAGAACCAACTTGTGCAGTTCAAACAGCTGACGAAATTCTGTATTTTATTTTAAATATAAACTAGAGGACCCATGCTGTTCCGCAGCGTTAAAATAAATATTGTATCCGAAAAATAATCAAACTTATGATTTTTTATTGAGTAATCCAGTATTTTAAGCTTAACTGATTCAAACGATCAATAGCTAAACCCTCAAATTAAACCCGATAATTTATTGATTATTTTGAGTACATCTTAAATAGAAATAAGAATTAAAAAATTAATCAAATTGTGTTTCTTCATTGTGGTTTCGAGTATTTTTGAGAACACAGGTAGAATGAAAATAGGCCTAAAGTTATTGGAACATCACCCTTCTTATAGACAGGTACGGTTCTAGCTGTTTTCAATAAATCTGGGAATTAGCTCACTAACCTAGTGGGGGTACAAATTAAGATTTAATAAGAGCCTTTAGGGCCATGCAGGACACTCCGTAAATATCTTTAATTCTAGAAGTTTTTCTTAACCATTGATATGATATAATGTGTATACTCACTCACCAATTTCCAAGTTGTTAGTGAGAGCTTGTGGTATGTCTTTAATTGAGGTCAGAGGGTCCATCTGCAAAACAGGTAGGTTAGAGACTAAATGACCTAAACACTATTTACAAATAAGTTATCAAGAAGCTATGTATATTGTTATGTACATGCAAAATTTTACGTGTATTTTACTACTTTCGTTTATATCTTGCTGAAGTTGTAAGCATTTCACATACAACCAAAATTTTAAAAGAAAGGGAACCCGCAAAATGTATGTTGTAGTTGTAAACACAAGACACGTTGGAAAAGTACAATTTAATAATAGTAACATTTCAGAACCAACATCATAAAATTATTTTTTAAACTCTGTATTCAACATTGTTCAAATGGAGAAAACTGTATAACAAGAAAAACATTAAAGCTGTGGTTCAAACCCTTACGGAGTCATGATCAATGTTTTTATAAAAACCACACGTATAAAAAAGTGTTTGCAGAATTTCAAAGCTGTGGCTTAAACCGTTTAGGAGTTTGTAAAAAACACATACACAGACAGACAGGCGCTAATTAAGAGGTTCGAGATAGGACACATTTTTTCCCTTGCTTTAATATTCCGAATTATCTGGTAAAGTTTGTCTTTGTTGAAACTGGATACCCTGTAGATATATTGGATAAATATCTGCTTATAGACTATAAAATACTTTGATATTAAGAGCAATATGGTTGTGTATGCAAAATGCATGATGTGATGGCAATAGTAAGATGATCACTGGAAGTTTTGAATCCCTCGCACAATATCTTAAAAACGTAATCTTTAGGAAAATGTTAGACAATGCTTTGTCTGTAACATAGGCTATAAATAAAACTGCTACAATAATTAATTGTAAAAATATTTGTAGTTTTCTATGAACATTGTTAAGTAAAAAGAGCATTAAATATTATTCCTAAAATGAATTTCCCTACTTGCATTTCAACTTTAACCTTATACAATCCATTTTATAATTTTCTAATCTTGCTTAGTTTATTGAGCACAGTGAAAAGTTTTGTTTGCTGCATACTGAGGTTTATTTTGCACTGAAATCTGGTATCTCATGATATATTACTCTTTTCTGAATTAGTGCTTGGAAATAAAATACAAATTATTGCCTATAAGGTATCTGTAGTAATCTTCCTTTCAAAGCTATTCATTTAGTAATATTCCGTATTAGACCTATTGGGCACTTAAATGATTTTTTCAAGACAATATTTTAAAATGTGCCAAATTGATGAGCATGATGCCTAAATGATTTTCTCTTATTTTACAATTTATGGCTATTATGCCTGAAAAATAATGGTTAGCAAAACAATTTTATATTTAGTTGAATTTTTGAAATGGGTTTAAAGTTAGTTACTTGGATACTTGGAGTAATTAAATAACAAGAACTTATAGTACAATTTATTTATGGCAGAATGATCTTATTAATAACAAAATACCAATTGAAATATTCCCTCTTGTTGTTGGCACAATTTACCATAGACAAAACATGTTTTATCTATGAATTTACTTTGACCAAAACCATAGATTAATTTACTACTATAATCTATAGTAAGAACTATGTGACCAAAGGCAATAGAAAAAACAACATGGTTTTGGAACTTGGAACACTGTTTATGATTATGGATGGGAATGGAGGAGAAGAAGAACGCATAATAACAAAACAACGGCTAGCAGTAGCAGCAGCAGTAATAAATAACAGCATCAGCATCAGCAAACTAACTAACAATCTTTTCTTTTCAAGTTCAGTATCAGTGTTTGGTTTGTTTATTCTAAGATAAAAACCTACGTTTTTGAAGAGAAAGGAATACAAATTATATTTTAGTTTAGATTAATGTTTAAAAAACAGAATGGCTGACAGACTAACGCAACTTCAAGACACTATCAATCAGGTACCTATCTATTAGGCATATTAGTTATTAAAATTACAGTGCTTAATTTAAATACCCTTTTTCATGGACTCCTTAGATATAGTGTGTCATCACAAGGAGATGAGAGTATATATTTACTTCAGCTATCAAACATAAAAGTAGGTCTAGCCGAAATGTTATCTTTCTGGGCCTATAGACCCAAATGCCTTTTTGACTAGCCATCATTAGACCTAACCCTACTCTAGAATTCTTTTCTTGACTTTCTTTTTCAATGTTTGTTTAGGAAAACTGTCTTTGCCTGGATCACAAAAGTAGCCTTTGGACAAAGGGATTGTTAAATGATCTTGTTGTCATCAGAGCTGTGATGAAAAGTAACTTAAGTTAACTTAGGCCTAACTTACCTAAAAATACCTTGTAACTTAACTTGTTTTTTTCATATTTCTTCGGCTGCACTTTACTTAAGGTCCTATACTCATTCGAATTAAAATATTGATTATTCGTATTCGATTGTTTCATTCGATATATCGTTTGGTTAGTTAGGTTAGGTTAACCTTACCTAACTAACCAAACAATATATCGAATAATCAATATATCGATCGATATTTTCATTCGAATGAGTGTAGGACCTAAAGTAAAGTGCAGCCTATTTCTTCCCTTATGTGGTAGGCTATACTGTTAGGCCTACCATAGTTTAGGTGGAGCTTTATATAAGTGCTGTTATTTATTTCACCCTGTAATATCCATACAGTAGACTTTAATTTTTAAGTAATGTTATCCTATCAGTTAAGTTTAGCCTATAAATGGTTTGGTAAGTTTGATTAAGTCGGGAGGCTATCATTGTTCAAAATGTTCAAAGAAAATAAAATGATCAGTTAACTTAACTTAAATCCTAAAGATGAACTAACTCTTTATGCTAGTGCTCTTTATGGTAGTGATAGCAGTTATAAATAGGCCTAACACTGTTTAAACATCCTTCAATATTCTTTCAGCAAGCTGAATACTTCTGTAACAGCATTGGAATTCTGCAGCAATATTCAACTCCAAGCAAGTTCTCCGGTTTTGATCGAAGTGGATCTCAAACCCCACAGCAGCAAGAAGGTATAAAAAATATTGTTTTCAATTAGGCTATAAGCTAGGCTGTAAATAAGTACAGTAGAGTCCCACTGTTCCCAACTAGCTGGGACCGATCCCTGTTTAGATTTAGCGGGAATTCAGAATAAACACATTTAGACTATATGGCAAATATCAACAAACCGTAACCGTGTTCACTGTAGTCATTTCGTATTGATTGTGAAATTGTAGAGATCCTAGTTGACATTTGTGTAACTGTGATCGCGAAGGATGGTGACGGTGTTTTAGGTCGTGCGAAAGACAATACAGTAACAAAGTCGCCGCACCGCAAACTTAGGAGGTGATAACAATGTTGCTCTAACATTTACTGTAAGTTAGTCTAGTGTTTTGAAAACCAACCACCAACACTCACAGTTTGAAAAGTATTTAACTACGGTCGCTGATGTTTGTGGTATGATCACCAGATTCTCCACCGTTCATGGTAACGATTTAAATTTCGCTGAAATTTGTGATAATGCTTAATTCACCACCTTTGTTGAAGATACCTCTTGCTTTGTGGTAGTTCCCAAATTCATCACTTGATTCTAGGAAATTTAGGCCTACGGAAATTCGCTAATATTGCCCCACAGTAACACCAATTGCCTTGCTGACGTTCGAGCTTAATTTTTAAATCCGACTCTACTAACTTACCCCAGGGACCCAGGTAAGTTCTTGGAGGGACTAATCCAGCGGGGCAATAAGGCATGAAGCGCAATGTAAACAAACCAAATACTTGTAGCCCTCTCGGCGTCAAAGAATTTGACGAATTTTGGAGTTCCCTCGCCAGGTCATCGTCTCCTAGCAACCCTCTAAATACAAAATTACAGTACCAGTACTTCAATGTTAAAATAAAAACTAGCAGCGCTCTCAACATCAAAGAATGTTGTGAATTTTGGGGTTTCTAAGCAAAGTCCCCAGTGGGGTCTTCCCTACTGTCAAAAATGCACAACTTTTACGTAAACGACTAATCACCTCTGAGTTATATTATTACCCTTATTCTTACACCTTCTCAATAAATACCTGATACATTGTTAGGTTAACAGGTCAGTTGTGTGTGTGACTTTTTGTGAATAGGCTAGAGTATCTCTGTGAGGGTGATGCTATAGGCTACAAAGTAGGCTATAAACAAGTTTAAAGAAAAAAATAGGGGATACTTTAATAGAACTTGAATGTACAGCAAATCGAAAAATGTCAAGAAGACAGAAGCATTTATTTTATTTATTATATAATTTTTTTACCATATCAATTTATTTAACATAAGGTTGTTATTTATTTAACTCAATGTTATAAACCATATGGATGCTGGGAAATCAGCAAAATATTGCAATAGAGTTAAGCAACTAGCTCTTGGGCCCATAGCCCATCACATAGTAACCCCGGGCCTGTTTGTATACTTACCGTACTGTTTGTGATATTGAAATTTCAACTTTGCACATTTCCTATTTTTATATTTTTGTATAAAATATCCAGATATTCCAATTTAGCAGATGACGTTAAAGTAAGCTAATTGTGTTTTACAGATTATGCTCACTTGTTCGCCTCATTGATTGCAAAAACCGCCAAAGATATCGACACCCTCATAGAGTCCCTACCAAACGAAGAGTCCTCTACTGAGTTACAGGTAAACAGATTGTAAGATAAGATTAACTTATTCTGGAATTTTGCAAATTCAGGTATTTAAGAAAAAATCTAAGTTACATGAATAGGGGCTATATAGAAATTACCATTATTACTTAAAGATTTTCTTATAGCCAATACTAAATACTAGGTGTGGACGGGATTGAATTTTTAGTTCGGGACGGAACGGGACGGGATTTTTATTTCCTTCCCGATTTTCGGGACGGGACAGGACGGGATTTTTTCCTGTGCATAAAATGCAATTCTTTAGTATTGCACTAACCAAAAAAGACAAAACAAAATCAATTTTTATCATTTGTGGCACTGATCTATCAAAACCAAAAAAAGGGCACAAATTTACAGGCATAGAAACTTGTGACTCTCGGTCAAAATGACTCGCGGTAACGGTGCGATCGTCGAAATGACTCAACGGTCACGGCGGGATCGTCGGTATGATTCACGGTCGAAATGACTCGCGGTCACGGTGCAATCGGCGAAATAACGCAGTCACCGTGTTTATTTTCACGGTCACGGCGTGATCGTCGGTATGACTCGCGTTCACAGCATGTTTGTCGGTATGACTCGCGGTCACGACTCGATCGTCGGTATGACTCGTGGTCACGGCGCGATCGTCAGTATGACTCGTGGTCACGGCGCGATCGTCGGTGTGACTCGCGGTCTCGACGGGATCGTCGGTATGACTCTGTGGTCTCGGCGTGATCGTCGTTATGACTCCGGGTCATGGCGCGATCGTTGGTATGACTCACGTTCACGGCCAGCATGTTCGTCAGTGTGACTCGCGGTCACGGCTTGATCGTCGGTGTGACTCGTGGTCTCGACAGGATCGTCAAAATGACTTCGTCTCCTGCGTTTGCGGAACTATCGTGAACATCTTTCGCGATAGCGGCGTCATCGTCACTCGCGAAGCTGTAAAATCGCCGACGATCGGAACAAATCCCGTCCCGAAAAATTCCCGAATCAAATGTAATCCCGTCCCAAAAATCGGGAATATTTCCCGAAAATTTCCCGAAATTTTGGGACCCCTCTATCCCTACTAAATACAGTGGACATACCTCTAAACTAAACCCCCACATCAAATTCATATTCACATGATACAACTTGTATATACACGGTGTTACAAAAATCCGTAACTGGCTTTACATAACCATACATACAAAAATAAATCGGAAATGCTCGGTAAAGCTTTTTCGATTTAAACTTCGTTAAGCAGTAAATAGTTATTGATTTATTTATTTATATCTTCTGTTAATAACTCTAGTTTAAGAAAAGTAAACAGACCTATTATTTGACAGTTGGTTTTTTAGGAGTTTGAAAATTAATACCTAGCATAAAATTCAATGAATGTCTAGATTGGTCCTACAGACTCGTTAGCTTTGTGTGCAATTAAAGGAAGTTTCCTATATATATTTACCTAGAGGCAAAGAAGTTACCGGTATTATTAAGAACAAAAGATTTAAAATTTCTCAGCCGACTCAAAGTTATCAACTTTTGTTGAAGTTTTTGGCAAGAAAATGTTAATTGTTGTGTTTAATCTTTAAAAGATGGCGAGTTTGCGGAGGTTGGAGCAGGACAACCAAGAAGCTGCAGAGAGACTAGAAGAGGTTGTTCATCGAGGGGAAACACTTCTCGGAAAGATACAAGAGGCTCTTGCTGACATTGCCCAGAGTCAACTAGAGATGCAAAACACGTTCGGAGAGTCTTCTAAAGACACTAATGTGTAAATCTTATTCTTTGCAAGGGGGGAGGGGTTTCAAAGAGTATTAGTATAGCTTGGCAGAGTTACACTTTCTGCCATCCTGAAAATAAAATTTGCCAGAGGTATTGTAACATGTCTGCAACTAAAAGCATATTTCATCAGGGACTAAAGTGACTTTTCGACACAAACTCGAGTGGGACAACCTTGGATTTGCCTCAGTAAGCGAATGAGTGTGAATCAAAAAGACATTTTGGCCTGTGTTAAGATCTAGATTTTTTTCTATTGCACGATTTTTTAAGCAATAAAAAAAAACAACAAATATTTTGCTCATTGTTTACAGTTATAAATCTCTTAAGAAGTTACGTTATTAAATGCAAACAGTTGTGTTGGCTATTACTCCTACACAAAAATTGGAATTGAAATTGCATTTTTACTCTTCAATCAGTGTAAACAAAGATAAAGCTATTTTGTACTGTTGTAAAACATACAATGTAAGACAATGATAAAAAAATAATAACAATATGATTATATATTTTTTTACTTCAATTTTTCTATCAAAATAAGTTTTTACAAAGCGAAAAATATACAGTCAATGTCCTCAAATCCAGCTACCTAATCTTTTTTGCCCTTTGGATTAAAGAATTAGTTTTAGTTTAGCTAGTGTGTTTAGAAAACAGCCGTTTAGAATTTATTATTGTATTGGCAGAGTGATACCTGTTGCTTATTATTAGTAACGGTAACATTGTAATTGTAATAGTAACAATAGCAAAACAAGACAGAAATTATTTTTTTGATCTTGACAATCTATGAAATTATTGTTTTTATTGTGGTTAGCTGATATTATAATGGTGCAGAATAACAAAAAAATATTGTCCACCACATAAGCCAGAAATGTCTTTCCTACCCTCGCTCATTTTCCATGGTCTTTAAACTTGGGCTTGTGTTGAAAAGAGTCGCTTTGGGCCCTGGCCCTAGTAATGGTATAGACTATTTTTTTTGTCTAGTTATAATTTTTTTTAATGGACTACAAATGATGATGCAAACTAATATGTCAAATAAAAAATGGAGGAAAGTGTTTCAACCTTTCCTGTAAAACCATAAAATTAGACTGACGTATATGTACCAAAGAAACTTGTAACCGAGCACATAATCAAAGCTTCCGAATGCAAAGAGTTCAATAGATGGACCTTAAAGTAGATCCCAATTCTATGCATTCGTCAAGTTCATTAAAATATGATTAATAGAGTTGCATAAAGCATATAACATGAAGATTGGTACTTTAGTTCTAGGTTTATTAATAGGCTAATCATATTTTTAAAATGTTTGTTAAATTTGATAATTCAACAATATTTAACAAATATTAGCATCATACAAATTGGTATATCTTTTTGGAAAGAGACATATTATAATATATGTATGGTACTTTGTAGAAACTTTTATTTTATATTAAACATCTCGATGAAACCCAGAGAGAGATTCAAGTACAGGGATCACTTAAGTGACTTTAGTCGTAAGCAACAAATTGTATATAAAATAGTGTACAGATTGTTTCTGTGAAACAGTATTCTTTAGTGAGTAATGTTTATTTATTTATTGTTTTTTATATTGAAAAAATCCATCAAGTTAGAAACTAGGACCTGCATCTTTACACAGGACTGGATTAACTACTGTGTACTAACCTAGGCCATTTCTTATGGCATGCCAGGGGGGTATTGAGTTTGTCAATCGATGGTTTTGTGAGAGAAGTTGGGACGGCCCAATCTAAAAGTTTTGAGTTCAAATTATAACAAATTGTGTTCTCAATCTCAAATAACCTGTAAAACCTGTAAAAAACTAATATAGAATCCATTGTAGAAAAAGTGTCTCGCCATTATTTACTTAATTTTTTATAATTTCTAAACAGTTTATTTCCAAAACTGTTAACAACAGAATCGCAGCAACACATCAAGATCATCCACCGTGATCAAGACAACATTGTTATAATTTTTTGTGATCATGATAAATTAGCTAGATTTCCGTCTAAAATCCTCAAATCATAGCCAACACTCGAAAAACAGATATAGACATTTTCATAAGCTTGCACATCAATCTTTAAATTTCATTACATTTGCTACCAAAAGGAACACGGTTCTTACGTAAACAGTGGGTGTAACTTAATTCGAGATTTCAATTCCAAATCCACTTGGTGGATCTACAATTGGCATTTTATCCTGAGATTCAGTAGATTTGAGTTTTAAGGCCAACAAAACATTAGACAGAAGGAATGTGTATGTTTCTTCTGTACATCCTGCTATGTGTTTATTAGGTTACAATAACCTTCCAACAGCAATGCATTTTCAATTTCACAAATTAATAAAAAGCAGTGTCTTGCAGCCAAATCATGCATAACCTAAGTCACCAATTGTTCTTAAAGACAATAGACATCATGTCTCAATCTCAAATCATAAACGTGTTAAATCCTACATGAATCGAAAGCTGTCAATTTATCACTAACCCTAAAAAACTAGAGTCTCATTAAAGTTTTGTTCCCTCACAGATAAAGTAACTACCAACTGGAGTAACCTACAAAATAATTAACCCCTTTCAGTTTGGGGGTGGAAGGGTATGAGTTGAATTTGGCCTAGGGTGTCATAGAGGGTTAATCTGGACCTGTCCCTACAAAACTAGACACACATTAGATTGTGTTAACACGGCATCAAACCTTTCTATGAGAGGAAGCTATTCTTCAGCCTACACTTGCTAGGTGAGAATAACTTACTGGGCTACATTAAGGATCTAACTAGGAGGAATTTGCCATTAGTACTGAAAAAATCCCAAACCAAAACTATTTTGTTCTCTGAATGAGTTTTGGTAATGTTTTCCGTGGTTTAATTATGAACTCTTTTTAGCTATAGGGTTTATTTAAATATTATCCTTTAAGATTTAACTTTAAGAAAAATTGTATTGTATTTTCATGGATACTCATAGGATACTCTCATTTCACTAATCACTTTTCATCTGTAGAGAGTTTAGCATTTCATCAAAACATTTAAAAGTATTTAACTAATAGTTTGTTTTGCAGTAATTCATTTTGTTACTAGTAGAGAACAAAGACATTAAAGGATTTGAAACATCTCGCGATTTAAAGAACCGTGCTTGATGTTCTTTACTAAGAAGGCTTTAATTTATTTGTTTTCAAAGGGCTTTTATGTTTTTTGGAACCGAATACAAATTCAATTTTGAAAGTCTTGAAGCATTTCAAGTATTAAGAAGGGTGCTTCATTTTGTTGTACTAAGAAGGTTTTTATTTATTATATTTAAAAAGGTTTTATACTTCATGTATTAGTATTAGTATTAATTAAACACACTCTCTTTTAGTTGTTAAGGACTTGTGTTTGTATAGCAGGTTCATATAAATATATGCAAGACCTTTATTCAATTTACACAATTTAAACATTTCACTGCAATTACATTTGCAACCAAGAAAGTTTTGAATTGAAAAGAGCTTTTATGAAGATTTTTCTAACAGTCATTCCCCTGAAATTTTAAGAAAACGTAAAATCAAATTTAAATTCTGCATTCTTCCCTAAAATATTTTGTATAATCCTTTTTTAATGTTATGTATAATTTCATCGCATATGGGGTCATTGTCCCTCAACTTTAACATTACCAAAATAGGTATTTTATCTAAACATCCTAATTTTTCCCCTTTAATCAAAAACAAATGTATACATATTGGTTTTCTCTGTAACTGTGAGTGTATGAAATTCTTCTTAAAAGCAATTTATGGTAATGCAATGATCAAAGACAACTAGACATTACTCTCACGATTGAGTTGTTCCCACAAAATGTCCTTCCCTTTAACTGTTGTTTAGTGTTGTAGTTATACAGTTGGAAGAATTTACAATAAACTCAGATGCAGTTTGACTAATTTACCACGTCTGCCAAAAGAAGATAAACATTTTAGAGTAACATACTCAGGTTTTGGATTTTATAGTGTTAAAAATGCCATTGTTGTTTATAAAATAAACAGTTAAGAGTTAAAATACTGTAGTACCCTTTAGTATTGTTGTTTAAATAGGGTCATCATTTTTAGAATGGCATTTGTATGTACATTTTGTTGAAAGTTTCTATAATAAATTTTTATTGTTTACTGATACGTTGATATTTTTGTAAAAATCCAGACTTTACATATTCAATGACGTTACAATTCCCTTTTCACTCAGCCAGTTTTTTTTTCTCACGTAAATCATTCTGGTTTTTCTTGAAAGCACAACACGAACATGTAGTATGTAACATTAAATAATCAGTATTTTTTTTCAAGTGTAAAACATTTCAGAGCTTAGGATTTTGAAACTTATCAATTAAGTATTTTAATACATTTCTTACCTATACTATACTGTATAACGTTACCAAAGTGTTATTGCTTAAAACGGAGTGTTCATAATTCTGCTAAAGGCCGTGAGGAACTTTTTTAACACGTTCGCTGCTGAGCGGTTGAAATTGGCCGGTGCCGGTTGCGGGCCAGGTGCTGTGCAGTAGTAATCGGCCTTTCCCATGATTTAACTTTGACAAGTCAGTGTGAGCTCAGCCATTGACGCGGAACGTTATAATCGTTGCCAGTCTGTAGCTTAGAATGCGAGCTTTATTTTGATGTAGGTTGGTACTAAAATTTCCCATAGTTTCCCGTCTGTCAATGCTTTTGTCCCGGTTTCGAGGATTTCCTGTCTTCGAGCCACATTACAAAGACACTGGCTACGGATCCAGTCAGTGCTGCTACCCTTGGGTGTTTCAGTGAACTATGTCCACTCGTGGGGTAACGCAGCACAATCACCCCTGCTCTTTTGTGATTCATCGGACTGAAATATTTGAATGTCAAATGGGTTCGCTGATTGGTGGTGTGCCGGGACTTCGCCCGGGCCTCACCGCCATTAGCGAGCGCCTGTTTGATGTATGCCGCAGTGAACCTAAAGTGGAAATTGTATTCAAAGACTAGAGTTTGCTATGGTCAAGTGGTTTTCTTTTCTACTAAAGATATTTCTGATGGTTCTTATTATAGTGATTTAGTAAAAAAAAACATGGACCATTTTAATTTTAATGGTCCCATGTTGTTCTACTCAGATAGCTATTCCATAATGCTGGAGGATGGAAATAAGGAATTTAATAGTACATATTGCTATAGTTAACAAATGTTAGTGTTCTGGGTTTAAAGGAAACTAAATGAGAAAAGGCAGATTTTTGTGCAGAAATAATCATTGTGGTTGTGATATTTTGGACAAAACAAATTATAAAAAACAACCCCGCTGCAGCAAACCTGCAGACTAAGCAGAAAATGTTCTATTTTATTGAAATCATCTAATTTGTTAGGATTAACATTTATTTCATGTTAATAATAATTATGTTTAAACACACACAATTTATCAAATTGTTATGACATTTTTACTATTTTATTTTATTCACTTTGTGTTGTGTCTAGCACAATTTTATGGGAAAGTTTTCAAAACATTTTAATAGTTTTAATAATGTTTAGGTGTGTAACAACAATTAATGAAAGTTGTTATTGTTTTGAGCTCTACACCAATGTTACATTTTTGGTAGAATAATGTTACCTAATCTGCTTTACCTACATGTGAAATGTACTTCTTGATCTGCTTTACCCACATTTAGAGTGTGCTGCACTCTAGGGAGCAAAGTCCTAACCACACCCTGATAACATTGTAAACACACTAGTAAGAGCTCTCAATCAGACACATACAGTACAGACATCAGTCAAAACGAACCTCTTCTAGTAGATAACACAGGTTACAGAGATGAAGAGTTTTATTCCTTATCCAGAAAACTCAGAGTTTCCCATAGAAAATCTCCCATATGGGGTGTTTTCAACACAAAACAATGTAAGTAGAACAAACTTTATGTCATAATTGAAGGTAAATCAGTACAGTATTTAATATTTTGTATGTGAGCATAGATTAATCTTTTATTATTCTGTTGTTTAAGCAGATTGTAGAAATACATTTATGATTTCATGTAGAAAAAATTTTAAAGAATTGGTTTTCACTATTTCTAACTGTATAGTTTTTAAAAATTCTATTTGATATTCATTGAAACAATGTTGTAATGTTTGGTATATTTAGAAATGAAATAAATGATTTGGAAGGTAATATTAAATGAGGGATAACAAGTGTGTTGATTTTATTTGGAATTCAATGATAGTGTAATTCCAGATTTTGGAGTTGTTTACTTAGCTCTCTTGTTTGTTGTGGACATAACCCACCGGTTTCTGTTTATCACTTGGAACGATTTCAAGGTCAACTGCATATGCTGGTCGTTTCCATAGGAATTGTTTATCTGTCTCTTTCCCAACTATTTAATTTATAGTAACTGAAAAGGGGGTTTAATGAAAAATATCTCACACTGTCTATTCCTCTCCTTTCAGAAACTGCATCAGTTAGTATTTTATTTTAATGATAGTTGATTATCAAATCTAAAAAAAATAATTATTAAAACGATTTTACAAAAAATCAAAAAGATCAAAATTTCAGTCATAACAAAAACATATTAAGTGTATTTTGTTTTGTTAAACAGAAACAACACAGAATTGGGGTGGCTATTGGAGATCAAATTTTAGACTTGAGCAAAATAAAACACTTGTTCAATGGACCACAGCTGAAGAATCATCAAGATGTGTTCTCCCAAGTAAGCAGTCTTTAAAATATGTTGTCATGGTTATTTGTGGAGGTTATATAAATACCAAATGGGTTTACTATCTAGTATTACATATAATACACATTCTCAATTCATCAAATACCTGTCTGTGCTATTGCAGCTTACAAATGACATTTAAAAAATAATTTTCAGGTCTTACATTTTATGATCAGTTATCTAAAAATTAATTCCTCATCCATCCTCATTAATTATAATAATTAATTATATGGAAAGTCGTTTATTTTTCAAGCAAAGTACAGCAGACAATTCATTCTCATATTTTTATGGTAAGAATGCAAAATAAATTGGTTTAAACTATATAGCAGCATTTTAAAACAAGGCATAGGAAAAGATGATAATCCAATATGTTGAGAGGATATAACTTGTGTACAGGAATAACAATTACAATAACATTCATATGTACTAAATGTGGTGTATAGTTTTGTGAAACGCTATTACATACACAAATACACATGAAAAAAATACTTCAATTTTACTACGGGTTTCTACTAAAATATAATTAATTTTTGATTAAACAGTATCATAAATTATATATAAAAAAAAGAAATTATGCCCTAACCATAAATTAGCCTTATAGTGAACAAACCTCAAATGAGATTAGACATTCAATATATATATACAACCATTACTACGTTTAAGTTTCTGTGGAGCAAAATGTTTCTGACTAGTAAATTTTTATACTAGTTTATGCTTTGAGTTTTCTATTGGTGCATGATTTTGTATATTATTGTTCTGTTGTCATCCAGCCATAGATAACTCAGAGTTTGGTTTTAGAGTTCACTGAACGACTTCATGAGCTTACCGAAGGCTGCATGGAAAGAGGCTCGCTCGGAGCTGCAAAATCTGCTGTCAGTGAACAACAAGACTCTTCAAAATCTTCCAGAGTAAGTTTTACTTTCCAGCTGACAAATATCAAGTTTTTAGCTTTAGAATTAAAAACTTCTAGCTCACAAAAGGTTTTTCTTTCATACAAAATACCATTGAAATCATTAACAAAAAAGGATTATTGTATATTTTGTTCACTTTTATAATTTATTAGTCAAAATTACTTATCGATGGGAATGGTTGTCATTTATGAACATAAACATCTACGTTTATAATTTGTGTTCTTATAATGTTCATATAAGGCATATGTATACTCCAAGTATACATCTTTATAAAGTGCCAGAAAATTTTATCGTAAGGTAAATGCCCTAAATACCGACACCTTAAGGTACAGTTTAAGTTCACATTCGTAAAATAATTTTTAGGTTATGTAAAACTTGTGTTTTCAGGATTTTTTTAATTTCCCAATGATATTATCTATCAGAAAACACTAACTTATTGAGGGAATACACTTTCCTTAATAGTTTTAAAGAGTTTTAATGTTTGTTTACAAATTAGGCAACATTCCCTAAATACCGACAACAATGAAAAATATACCGACAGGCTATGTCCTATTTACCGACAGCAACATTATAACACATGTTCCAGATATAATATAACCACACCACTTCCTAAACAAATATATTTAATCAGTTTTTGTGTAACTATTCACCTACTTGACTCTTTTATTTTATATTAGTTATGCCAAAACCAGGACCTATGACCTATGACTTTGTACTATGTAGATTGCGTAACAGACGACATCACTCTACCACAGTTACCTCGATTTGAACTTTCTTGGTAGTTAAAGCTTGTACTATATATTAGTAGTAAAAAAGTTTCTTATTTTAGTAAACTAATACCTAAATAAATAATAATATTATTAAATTTATGTTAGTCTGTACCTGATTTCAAGGGGGTATTAAAATGCAAGTAATGAAGATAACCTTAAGATATAATTATAGAAAATATGTACAGAGATGTGACAAAAAAACTTGAGACAGAAAAAGGAAACCCTATTACAGATATATATTAAAGACATAGAGTGGGACTTGTGACTCAAACTTAAGGATAAGATTAAGGAGCAAAGGTGAGGTAACCTCGTCTACCAACGACAGGCTCTTTCAAAATGTTCAAAATGTCAAGAAGAGGCACTTTCTCATCGATGTCATCAATTACCGGCCAAAAAAACTTCACTCCTTTCTGTTTCAAAAATTTAATACTCGCAGTCTTCTCTATTTTATTGATGTCGCGAATCCGTCCAATAAACTTTTTTGGCTGTGTTCCTTTTGATCCTTGATACGGCAGTATGACCCAATTACCAGTATGCACGTCGTTCGGGTTAATCTTTTCTTCCGTAGAAAACGACTTAAAGTCAAATGTGTCACTTGAATTTTCTTGTTGGTCGTCCTCTTCACTCTCAGGAATTGTATTTTCTTGAAGTTTTACAACAGTGTTACTCTTCTTTTCAGCTTTTACCTTCTTTTCAGCTTTTACCTTCTTTTCGAATTTTTCCATCTTTTCTTTCTTAATTCTCTTGACAGTTAGTTTCATTTCTTGCAGAGTTCGTCGTTTTTCTCTCCTTTCTTCTATTTCTTTTTGTTTCAAGGCCTTTCCCTCAGCTAAATTTCTATAATATACCTTCCATTTCTCTGACGACACTACGGTAGGTACTTTAACTTTGGGTCTCTTCTTTTTCAATGCTGATTCTTTTTTTTGTCCAGGCCAAAAAAAACAATTTTTAAACGGAGACGGTACAAGTGATGTGAGGGTATATTCGTCATGAGTAGAAGATGATGTTGGTGGTGGAGTATTTTGCCTTAAGGGTGGCGGGTTCTTTGAAAGATGATCAAAAGGAGAAGATACAAGCGATGTGTTTTCGTTTAGATTAGTAGACGATGTCTGTGGTGGAGTAGGTGGTGATGAAACGGGACTTCTTGCTGATGATGATGATGGTAACATTTTACTTATTGATTGGGATAAAGCTTGATTTTGAGGACATGTATCTGAAACCACAGTGACTGGTAAATCAAGTTCTTGAGCAACAGAGGGCTCAAGGCCTAAGTCACGAAGCAAACTTTCATTCATGAAAATTTCTTGGTCAAGGTCCAAGTCAGAAACGTCTGCTAAGTCAATTATTTCATCAGGTATGTTAAGTTCAGATGAATTTATGGATGTTGTTCTTAGTTCAGGTTCTTCTACGATGTTTTGTGTTTCTTTTGGGTTCAAATCGTTAATTTGTGTAGTGTCATTGTGTACGCTATTATCAACATGTAGAGCATTTTTGAGATCTGATCTGATTTCAGTCCATGTTTGAAACAGGGATTTGTCACACTCATCTACTGGGCCACCACGCCTAAAGAGTTTAACTTTATCCAAGCCCATCTTATCTTCAACATACCGCAGCACATAATCGATTTTATCCGATTCAACAGTGGTTTTTGTGTGGCCTAGTTTTTCTTTTTGGGCTAAATTGCCGACAATTCTTGTTAAGTCGATGTCATTGACGTCCAGTGTAGCTAAGCCACACGTTTTGAACCCATTTTTTATTGTGTCGGGCTTCAGAGTCGTTACCATTATCGATTGGAGAAGAGGTGGGAAATCTTCTTTCTTTAGTTTTTGAGATTCATTCTCGAACCTCCATTTGGATACAGCTTTCTTCCACGCATTTTTTAATGGGTGGAACACCGCAACGTCTAATGGCTGCAGCAGATGGGTGGCGTTAGGCAAAAGAGCCACAAGCTCAATTTGTTTGGTGGCGCAGAACTCGCTCAATTCAAGGGACATGTGTGAAACATGTCCGTCCATAAATAGGATCACTTGCCGGGGGATGTTTTGTGTAGTCAGGTATGGTTCGAATGTGTTGGCTATGTATTCGAAAAAGGTCTCACACGTCATCCATCCTGACTCGCTTTTGCCCAAACCCCATCCATCTGGTACAGCCATTCCCACTTGGAGTGGTATTCGTTCGTATGCGTATAGCACCATTGGCGGTGCTACGCCACCATCTCCTCTCACAGTCATTAGCACGGTCACATTCTCCTTATCAGTGTTTCCGGATACATTATAAACACTCTTATCCCCCCCTGGCTGCAATGACTTTTCCAGTTTTAGGGCTGAGAAAAAAGGCAGTCTCGTCACAGTTATATATTCGGCGAGGGTCTTTGAAGATTTCCATTAGATCATTTTCCTCACAGTAGGCTTTCACCTCAGCGAACCAACTACTAATACCTTCCTTCGTGATTGAAGCACGAGATGTCGTCAGAGTTTGACACTCTCGAACAGCTAGGTTGGTATGCCGACCCATGAACAGCTCATACCATCTTCTGCCTGGCTTCTCATTAACGAATGGGTTTGGCTTCCCTAATTTAGTTATCATTCTTCCAGCACTGTGGATCAGCTGCTCCTTTGTCACAGGAAATCCTCTGGTTTTACATGTCAATACCCACTTTACTAACATTTCTTCTTCCAAATCAGATAGCAAAGGCTTCCTCCCGAGTTTACAGTTTTCATCATACCGTCCACTAAGTTTGTCATGGAGCGTAACTCTTGGCACACCAAAACGCTTGGAAGCCGATGAAGTTGTTTCAGCACCACTTCGTACTGCTAAGATAGCACTTTTCATGTCTTCATCACTGTACTGTTTCCGCTTTTTTGGTGGTAGCGTCTTCACAGTAGGCATTCTGAAAAAATACAATTAGGTTACTCGTATATAAAGAGAATTTGTATCTTTCTTTACACATTGTTCGTACACATAAGTATAGACACAAATTTCAATCTACGATAATAGTTATCTTAAAGCTTGTAATATGTTGATATTTTAGTAGGACCATATTTTTTTCAAAGAAATACCGCCAAGCATGTCTCAATTATATACAAATGCATAACATTTAAAAGGAATAATAGTTTTGGGACTTTAAAATGTGTTGTTTCATACATATACACTCAAAGTGTTAGATGTCGGTATTTTTTGCTTGTACATATGTTAAAAATAAATACCGACAAGGGGGTGTTGGTATTTGGAGAAATGGCAGATATTTGCTTCAAATACCGACATAGTTAAAATAAAAAGAGGTTATTTCGGAAACCGGCTTTTGCAATTACAGTTTAACTACAAATATATTTAGCTACTAATTAAAACAACTATTCACCTTAATGATAAAGTTTCTAAGCTTAAATCCCTAAAGTAAATATGCATTATACATAGTGAGAACGTACAAGATTCTTACCTGAAATAGAGGAGGCATGCACCACTTGACGAAATTAACTCACAGCAACGGCACAAATGGAGGGAAACTACTTCTTCTTCTTCTTGCGTGTAGAGAAAAACAGTATGAATCCACAGACGTTTAACTTAAGTTTTGACAGACGACGCAAAGCTTATTTTTCGGCGTTAAACCAGGCCATGTCAGTATTTGATACATTGTCGGTATTTAGTGCATCTACCTTATCAGTTAAGATTAGCACAGCTGTAAAAAACCACACATACCCAGCATAAGTTTCCAAAATAATCCCTTGGACTTCTTTCTCAGTTGAATGTCAACTATACTATTCAAAAACAGTGAAATATAAAGTAGTAAAATTATGAGAAATGCAGAAATCACTATTTTTTTTTAACAGCCAAAAGATAATAGGCCTACTGTTTTCGTAAATCCACTGTGCTTAATTTTTTAAATGAGATGTTAAAAACTGAAACCTACCAAAACAGATCATACATTTACTCGTCACCACTCATATTATCCCCATCCTATGAAGATAAATGCGCTATCCCGTCCTTTGAAGATAAATTTGCTATGCCACAATATATAGCAGATAAACAATATGCATCATCTTAATTTGTTTAGGGTTTTGTCTTTTTTGAAAATATATATAAACTAAAAAAAAATGGCTTTACAGAGAGTTTAGTTTATTCTATGGTAGTACTGAACTCCACCTCAAATTAAACCCTACTATAACACCTTTGATGGAACAAGGGTAACTTTTAGCGAATTTCCCTATAGGGAAGTAGCTATTACCATAGGTCTCATGGTAAGACTTAGGCCCGGGACCGATTTACTTTTTCATTTTGGTGTCCCCAGAGGCCAAAAACACCATTCGTTCAAATTTTTATATATGTATATATATATATATATTTGGAAACATTATAACAACATTAAGTACCCTTTTAAATTAATTTTAATTAAGAAACGACATGTTTCGACACTTAGGTCATAGTCATGTATTATTTTGTATTTCCACATCTTTATTTATGTTTATATGTTCATCTCTCCTCCAGCCCAACCTTGTTGCCCTTTAACTCTTCCTATACATTTTTGTAGCTAATAGAACTCCCACATTATGTATTTGCCTTTCTCAGCTAGATACTAAATGCTAGGAGTTGTTGTGTTTTTAGTGTGTTAGTTGCTCAAAGGGAGGCAACAATGCATCTGCCAGCCAAGATTGGAGACTACACCGACTTCTACTCATCCATGCACCATGCACAGAATGTTGGGGCCATGTTTCGAGGAGGAAATGCAGCTCTTTTGCCTAATTGGTAATCCCTTCATTAGGGAAACTGTTGAACTATTACTAGTGGTGTGGTCGTAAAATTATCAGTGGAGGAACACTCCCCATAGACTCAGAAAAAAACACAGGTCAATGGGTTTTTGTATGTAAAACAGTGCAAAGCAATGTGGGAATGCTTTTTAGACTGCCATGCCATGTTGGTAATCTTCCAATTTCACGTATTATCTTCTTGGCACTATAAGGTAAATTATTTAAAGAATATAAGTTTATATCAGAAAGCATTTTTGGTGAATGTATTTAAGTTGTCACTTCCTGTTAATCTAGTTAACAGTCCTACAAAGTGTCTTGCATCATACCTTTACAAGAAGACTAATTATTTAATGATGATTTTTTAATTGGTACACAATTAAAAAAGTTGTTTGTTAATTAATTTCAATTAACAACTTTTAATCGAATCTGTTTTATCTGTCAATTGCCAGAAAACTGTTTGATGGTTCTTGTTTTCATAAATCCATATTTTCCACATTACTTGGCAAAATGTATATTTGTTTTAATTCAATACACTATATGGCACATCTAATCATTCAAAACAAGTTTGTTGCATAGAACTGATTTTCATGTAGTTGGATACTTTGGAACACTGTTTATAAATCAATTATTAGCCAATTTTAAAGATCAGTTTATGTTTAAATAATTATTCTTTTACTGTGATCACATGTGACTGTTCGATCCACTTTTAAACTCTTAAAGATTCATTAATTACGATTATGAGATGGGGACCCACCATCGAACTGGTGATCTCCATCGTAGAAGACTAGTCCTAACACTCAGCTATTCTGATAAATATACAAATGTTTTTTAGGAAGCATATACCAGTTGGGTATCATGGGAGAGCTTCAACAGTTGTCATATCAGGTACTCCAATTAGACGACCCAATGGCCAGACTTGCCCATTTGAAGGCGAGCCACCGGAATATGGACCTTGCAAAAACATGGACTTTGAACTGGAGGTAGCTTTCTTCTTTGGGGGACCTTCCAACAGCCTTGGAGAAGTGATTCCAATCGAAAAAACTGAAGATCATATTTTTGGGTTGGTTCTCATGAATGACTGGAGTGGTGAGTTGATAACTTTAATTTATTAGTTATGTATTATTATTTAGTAAAATATTTTTAAAGTATGTTTTCAATATCAAGCAGACATGATTGAATTATAAAAATGGACTTTTAACAAATCATTGGATCCAAACATATTTTAATATGGTTTTCATCTCTTCTTTTAATTTTGTGAAGACCTTTCTACGCCAATTTCATGGAAAATGTTCACTAATGTATTCTTGGATAGAGAATTGCGTTAAAATAAATTTATAATTTCAGCACGTGATATTCAAAAGTGGGAGTATGTTCCCCTGGGCCCATTCCTCTCGAAGAATCTTGGGACTAGTATTTCACCATGGATTGTCACCATTGATGCTTTGGAACCTTTCAAGACTGACAACCCAGAACAGCACCCAAAGCCCTTCCCTTACCTCCAGCACTCAGAGTCCTTCAACTTTGACATCAACTTGAGTGTTGATTTGAAACGTAAGTTGTTTGTAATTTTGTTAATTTATTATTTTATTTAATATAACTATACTTTTAAATTTTGACTTTACCGTATGGTTAGAGACATAAAATATTTGTTGCCCCCTCTTTTTGATTATACAGCCACACTACTACAGCAAAATTTCAAAATAGATGATAGCTTTAACATTGCTAACTTTTGCCCGCTTTGGTTCTGAGAGAATTGACCCCTCATTCTCTTGTAAAATGAGAGTTTCTCTATTATCGACCATCAATGTACCCGCTAAGTCCCTGTCTTTAAACCTCAACCATACAAAAATGAAATGTAGACCATCCAAAATAGTTACTTGAACATTAGTGGATATAGATAAAAGATTGGAAAACATTGACTATGACTATAAACAATGAAGTTCTCCAGAATTAACACAAGTGACTGAGAACAGACACACATGCAAAACCATAGCATTCAAAAGGAAACCAGTTTCATGCTCATCACCACATCATTATTTTAAGCTGATGCCTACACAAGGTGTGAAACATTATGATATTTGTTGTCAGGGCTGTGCTCACTGCATATCATCAGTGGTTATTCTTTTCTACTAAGATATGCTTTTTACACTCTTTTTGCTACCCAAATCTTATCAGCCAAAATTCTACCCAAAAATAAATAAGAAACTCAACTGGCAAAAATTTTCAAATTCATTTTCCTGAAAGAAAAAGATTTAACTATCAGGTTGTGTTGTAAACATTATTTCATATCTTGTGAACTTTAAAACTATACGAGTAATTAAAATGCAATCGTGATTTTTGTGACTAACGCTAGGATAAAATATGCAGTGATGTAACTTTGATCTACAGCTGACAACAGTCCAGTGGCCGCGACAATCTGTCGTACCAACTACAAGTACCTCTACTGGACTGCAAGGCAACAGTTGGCCCACCATTCTAGTTCCGGATGTGTTCTTCATGCTGGGGATCTGTTGGCATCAGGGACTATTAGTGGCCCAGTAAGTATTCATCTGAATCTGTGTTAGCGGAAAGTTCATGATAATGTGAATAGGATGGCGTGAGTTTGAATTTTCTTTATAAATACAAGCTCAAATTTTTGTGTTCATATACCAAGTGGTGACACAAAGAGGAATGTTCTTGAAATCAATCCATGGCTTGGGGCTTAACGTAATTAAATAAGATATATCATACCCTCAAAAATCATTTGGAGCACCGCTCAGTTACAAAGTTCAACTATGGCTCCAAGGCTTGTTATCCAATAACATTATTGGTTTTAGTGCTCAGTGTTTATTTAGTGTTTCATACATGTAAATTGAGGTGCCAGAACTACAATGCACCAAGAGCTATACACCTCCGTTTCTTCAAACATCCCTCTCCTACCCAAAGACAGTTTTATTATGCTCATGATAAGAAATGGAAAACTTTAGTGCAATACTAAAAACCTTGCTCACTAGCTGTGAATAGTGGCACCTTTGGAAATAAGAGAATAAGAATTTTTTGGAAACCACAAATCATTCATATTACGGTTATAAATTTGTAAGGTAATTAATTTACAACTTGTGTGTAGCAGATGTGATTTTTTTTTAATTCAGAGAGCAATAGTAAACTAGTTCAGTAATAAACTTAGAAATTAATATGAATGATGTAGTTTGATTTCTAGACATCAGACTCATTTGGTTCAATGTTGGAGCTCGCCTGGAAGGGAACCAAACCAATCAAGTTGCTTGGTGGAGACTGTCGTAGATTTCTGCATGATGGAGACGAGATTATTCTAAATGGTATGTGCAAGTATTAAGTGAAAAATTTCTGCAAGTTGAATTGGTTCTTTAAATTATAATCCACATGGAGTTTTGAAACAAAGTAATCACTAACATGAAAGGATTTCCAAAAGATATCAAAAGTGTAAAACTGTAAAGCATTGGCATTGTCAGGTCAGCCATGAGGGATCAGTCATGTCTTGTACATTGATTAAAAGAAAAACAATTATGTAACACCCAACAAGACATTTTGACAGAAGGGGACTGAAACCGTAAAGTTTGCATAAGTATAAATGGAACTGTTCCAATACTACTTCAAACAAAACACAACGGGACAGATAAAACACCTAGAACATTTTTCTATTGCTGATAAAGGTTTGGAATAATTCATCTTGCATCAACCAACATCAAGCAGCCTGAAAACTCTCTTTGTCCTAACATTGCTAAAAATCATTCCTATCCAATAATAGACAAAAAATTCATTTAATTTCCTCCCATTTCATTTCCTCCAAACACAACCCTTCTTAAATGTCAAACATCTTTAAAAATCAATTTTAGTATCATTCGATAAAAAGTGCAAAACTAAACAAAATAAATAAAATACAAATTAATTTGTTCTGTCTTATTTGGTGTACCGTGCTGCAAGTCTAAAAGAGAAGCACCGTTGGAATATTCTTAATGCTAAATTTGTAATATTTCATTTGTGATTTTATGCCTGGCTCACTAAAATAGTCCTAGTTGACTTCATTATAGGAAAAACATTTTACAAACAATGAGATAAACTACAGCATTAACTACTGGATGTCTCATTGCAGGTTTCTGCCAAGGAGATGGGTACAGAGTTGGCTTTGGTTCGTGCAAGGGAAAACTTCTTCCAGCTCATCCATTGTGAATGAAGACTTTACATATTTTTTACAGATAATATTGTAAAACACTGACAAAATGTAAAGGAATTTTTTTATATAAACTATGTTAAGAGTTATAAAACTAAGTATCTTCATAGATTTTGTTAATTAATTCTCCTATTCTAAATCCTTCTATTATTACTTTAGAAAGAAAAGAAAAACATGTGCCCATCACAGGTAAAAGTTCTTAATGTAACATTTTGTAAAGTTTTATGTTGTATTTTATGAGTTTTTTTTCCGCTCAATGGTTCATCAAAGTAATATGAATGTATCTTGTGATTGTACAAATATTGAATGTAATTAAGCTAGTTTTAATATCAATTTGCAAGCCTTGATTTGTAAATAACTTCCTGGATTCAGCTTTTTTCCTTATCTTACCTTTTGACCTGTGCCCATTCTGAATTCCTCGTGGTATTTCAGGATTCCATTACTGACTGATACTCATTCAAACCATGATCCAAAGAAGGTTCATTTATTGTTCCTAAATACAGTAGACTCCTTCTTATCCGGACTTCTCACGACCGAGGCCAGTCCGGATAACGAGTTTTCCGGTTAAACCAACGTCCCCAAAAACTCATAAAAACGGACCGTTTAAATGCGTATTTGACTTAAATTTAGGAGAGCATTGTATTTAGACACATGATCACTTGTCTCAAATCTTTCCCACGAGAACGGTCGTTTCAGTACCGCCCACCGATGTGCTGATAAGAATTGTCCGGTTAAAGAGATGTCATTTCAGCAAGATCAGACTATGGGAACGGGGTTTTAAAAAGAGGTGGTTTATTGGGTAAAAAAGTGATTTCCCCCATTTTTGAACCGCCAAATTTACAAGTCTGCAATTCATTGTCAGATCACTTTGTAAAACTTAAAAACACAAATAATTAAGTATGTTGAAGCATTATTGTACATTTATTGGTTACAGAGAAAATTCCCGAAAATTTTAAATTTAAGTATTGGTGGCCTGTTTATCATGTTGCAGCAGCTTCTATTAAATCTCAATGCAGCCAGTTTTTCTGACAAAAGTTGGCTAGCTCTCTTTTCGGACAATTGGTGACATTCTACACTTTTGGAGGGGGTCTCTACATACCCCTTCCATCGGATTATTGGTCTTCAGAGGCCGGTCATTTGGCTTCAAAATAGGTGTTGGGGCTCAACATGGCTTAGGGTGCATTCCTGACTGGTGGTGCTTACCGGCAGGGTCATATAAAAGAGTCAAGACTCCCAAGGATACCCCTTGAGTAGAGATGCAATATGCTTTGAGGGTAAGAGTACTAGGCATGTTTCGCTAAGTTCTTTCCATCAGGGATGTTGCTAGAGACTTTATCTAGTGTATGGCGTTTTCATTACTCTGTGTGAAACTTTAGTGTTTGCCCCTATTTTTAAAATTTCTTGGTCTCAAGATCCACTTCATTGCACTTTTGTCTTCTTTTTTGGCCTTAGGTTCTTTGATATTGGGTTGTTGATATGTTCACAAAGGAGGAAAGGCCAAGTAAAGGTATTGTTTTCATAGGAGATAATTTCCATATCCGTCAAAAATTCTCTGAGAATTTGGTTAGATACATTGACCTCATTATTTTTCTCTGTTTCTCTTTGGTGAAACTTTTTCTTTGGGGTTTGTCGCTTGGTTTTCGGTATATTTGGTATGCAAGACTTCTTTTGTACATGGAGTAGAAGGTATCTTTTTCTCCTATCTTTGGAGTTTCACAACCTCTTGGTACTCAGCTGTGGGAGAAGAGCTGTTATTTGAGTTGCCAAGGAAGTATGTGACGCACTGCTATAAGTTGAAGAGTCAGTTTGCATTCTTGTTAAAGACGGTTCCTGCCTTATTTGGCTCTCCATTGTCAAATCATGGTTTGTACTTGGCTTATTTCAAATCATTATTTGGGAAGGGTGAGGGGAAGGTCGTTTGTAGGGGTTGTCTTTGTACGGGGTTGACCTGACTTTAATTACCTCTCACTGCCCTTCAAAGAGAGGCTGAGAGGCAAGGTCCTGGCCCCACCTAGATGACGCTATCTCAAGACAGTCTGTGATGCAGTGCCTCACTAGAAGCAATGCTGTGTGGCGAAGAGCAACGTCCTGCCAGAGGTGACCCTGCTTTTACTGAACATGGCAGATCTTGACTGGGAGGTCATTCCTGGTAGTGGATCCAGTAACCACCAGAACTGACTTGGGGCCAAAGACAAGACAAGTCAGATGAGCCCATTGCAGGACAGCTCTAGACAGATATGAGACCAAAAAATGGGAAAGGAAACAAGCCCAGAAATTTGACTCCCATTGGAGACGGACGAAACCTAGCCATAAGATAGTGCAGACCAAGCATGTCCTGAAAATACCTAGTCTGCAAGTGCACCCCAACAATGTAAACACCAGAATAAAACTAGTTTCCCTATGGTTCTGCAAATCAATCCATGGAAGGACACCCCTTCCAGGCTAAGAAATAAAAGAAAAACAGATGCCTATCCAAGAACAATACAGAACATCATGAGAGAAAATACCACTCCTAGCCAGGATGTTGAGAAATAGAGGTATGGTCCAAGCTAAAAACATGGGTAATCATCAATAATTCAAGGTGCTGATAGACCTCCAGTTTCTGAAGTTGTTAATTTGATCAAGCTATAGATAACTGTTTATGAGGAGCCCAAATGTACATTACGACTAACCAAATGTATATTTATAAGCCTTAAGAAACATACTAAAACTTTTGTTTGAAACATTTTGCGTATTTTATTTGTAAAAAATGTATAGAGGGTAAAACAAAATTGTGGTCTAAACATAAACATTACCAAAGTTTACATGTTATAACTCTTTGAAAATAATTCTTAGAAGAATAGGCCTACCTTGAGTACAAAAGTGGTAGATAAACTAATTATAAATAAAACAAATAAAATTTCAATACGATGGCATGCATAGAATTTGAATTATATCCAATAAAGTGAACGACTGCAATTTCCAGGTTTGGAAGGGGTGGGGGCAAAGATCAAGGGGGACAGTCGGGATCTTATTGAAAATAAACGTCTTAAGTGGTTCTATCACATATATAAAATCCAGCTTTCCACTATTTAGCTACGAAAAAATGCAGTTTGTGCATTTATTGACTGGGGTACATGCGATGACGCAGCGCAGAGGTGTTCAACTAGCCCGCACGCGCTCTCTTTTCCGACGCCCAGCTATTTACCAGTTCACCTAGATGACTAAAAAATAACATATTTGTAAACCTTTAAGAACGTAGGCTACTAAAACTTTTATATGAACCATATTTTCGTATTATTTCTATATAGAATGGTATATTATATATTGAGAAAACAAATTTGTGTACTCTGAAACAAAGCTTTAATTAAGTTTATAAAATTTTATATCTCCCTAAATACAGAAAGACATGTTGAATACAAAAGTTGTAGGAAAGCTAATCAGAAATAAAACAAAACAAATTGCAACACAATAGTGTATATAGTATTTCACTTATGATCAATTAAGTATAAGACTGCAATTTCTAGGTTTGGAGGTGGGGGAAAGCTCAAGGTGTAGAAGTGGGGACTTTTGGCAAAATAAACCACTCCATGTGGATCTATCACAATAGATAAAACATACGGGAGTATGTTTAATCTATGCTATCACATATACAAAATCCAGTTATCCACCATTTAGGTTTGAAAAAGGGCGTTTTATTTTTTTCATTGACTGGACTAAGAGATGCAACTACTGTACCCATAAATTTGTGTATTTCCCTTAAATCTTAAAAAACTGAAATATGAATTATCTAATGCTAATGATGGTTGGATTTAATATTGCGGTACAGTATTAGCGGTAGTCGCCATATAGGATTAAGCTAATTTGGGAGATTTGGATATTAAAAATGGCACTGGAGAGTCCTTTTTGTGTCAGTATAAGTGTTGTAGGCATATGATACATCTATCATCTTCCGGTTGATATGAAAGTGTGGGCTTGTTATCATTGTTGAGCTAGGCACTGACTGTCATTTGGTGCAATGGACGCGTGTCAAACTGCTATTCGTTTGTTACTGCTAGTATTTTTGGTTTTCGGTTGTTCAATAACTTGTTTCGTGCTCGCAGCATTGTATGTGGCAGGGGTATCCTATGTTGAGCGATTTCTCCGAGATTTATATAGGAATCAAGGTATGTAGATGATGTATAATGTATGTATTCGTTAATTCACGCTTATCTAAATTCTACCAATAATAATATTATTTAATGATATTTATGACAGGAAACGTATCTTGGTAGCTTCATTACGGCTGCATATGAGTGGCTTTTAGTCCTAACTCCTAACACGTAGTAAGTGGAGGCCGACCAAGCCACTCATTCCGCCCCCGCACAGACACGCCTTTTAGCCACCGCGGCACAAAGCAACGCCCGCGAATATCAGGGGAACCGCACGCAACACGGCCATGGAACTATTGCCGTCACACTACACCAAGTGCGACGCAGCGCACCAACACCAACCCTAAACAGCCCATTCACTACGGCCCTCATATACTCCAATTCACAAAATAAAGTATACAAGCACACCCACACAAACAACTATACACACATGCATTGGTTAATTCAACGTACTCCGTTTATTTGTTTAGTACCAGGGGACCGAGCATTGGTCATGGTGTTAATTTGTTTGTTTAATTGTTAATTGTTTTTTGCGTGAAAAAAGGTCATATGCTAGTCTTCTTTTATGCCACAAAGGCTATGTGTTTTCAATAATACGAGTGTCAAAAGTACCGCGCGTCGTCGAAAACTGTAAAACGTTTATGGCTTTTCCTCAAGGCTCCTAGTTCAACTTTAATTTACTGTATAATATTTTCCTGTAAAATACTCTACGATTACGTATTTGAACCATACAATATGTTAGTAACCCAGTATGGCCATCATAGCTCACAGCGACGATACGGAATCGGAATTATATCACCGGAGGGAAGGGCTATTTTTATAAACACTACCATCTGCCACGGCTTCTACCGATTGTTACGAAAATAACGGTTTCTGGGATTTTAGTGCCGACAAGATTATATTTTATTTTTATTTTTCTCGTTTTATATGTTTCCCGCATACTAATTCAACCGACTCTTGCTAATGTAAAAGATTGATTGATAAAGTAAACCAATTGTTTGTGGTAAAAAAAAATCACCATTATTGCATAATTGTAATTCAGTAAATAGTTAATATAAATTAACCTTTAAACAGGTTACATCCCCACGTCATCATTTTTGTATTATTACATTATAACTTATTTTGTCTTTGTAACATTTTAACAATATCAAAAGAAATTATATTTTCAATTTTCTTGGTGTTGTAGGATTTTCAAAGTTGAAAGGTCTGAAAGTTCAAAAGCATGTAAATCTCCATGTCTGATCTAATTTCATCCCACACATGCTTGCATTATTGTTGTGTTCTACATATCTTAGCATATACAAAGTGACATTTACAAATCGTGTTCTGCAAAGTGTAAATAGTTAATACAATTTTAGTTTGTTATGGAGTTTTATTATCACACTTAGATAGTATTTTACAGATCATATGGATAGGATAGTGAACATTAAATATGATAAAATTATTAAGGAGCTTATAACAATTATTACAAAAAAGATACTAGAAGAAATAATTTAAATGGCAACTTTAGAACATTTCTTGTATTTTAGATATAGTATTTAAAATTAAGACATGTGTTGAACTGGACTTCAAAGCATGGACAACACTAGATAAGGTATTTTAGTTTACTGCAATGGCGAATGTTAAAGTAGATAATTTAATGAGCCTCCCTACAGCAAAGTTTCATTGTATTCATTGTAATCATTCCCTTCAGCAAAGATTCAACGGTCTACTAAAATCGTAGCCCTTAAAGATTTTTCGTAATATATTTTTGTCCTGGTGTACAAATTAACTCGGTATCAAGGTAGCCTAGGTTCAAACATACGCTAAATTACTGGGTATTTAATTTTTAAATACTTGGTGAGATTATCACGTTAACGCGAGTTTGCAGTGGCGCCTTAACAAATGACCGAATATGTTTGAGATGGAAGTTACTCATCCATATCACCCCTTAAAAAAATAGTTTCTTCCCAACCATCTTAAACTCTAGTTAAAATTCCAGACATAATAAAACGAAAATTATTTCTAGGTCCAAAGGAGGTGGAAATAGGATAATCCAACGGGAACAAATCATTATTTTATTTAAGAACTTCTTACTTCTGTCGACAAATATATCCTTGTTTATTTAACCTTAGGTCATAATCCTTGTATTTTTCATTAGTAAATCTTATACGTCACAACATTTCTGTATCGAATGAGCGAACAACTAAATTGCACAGAGAGAATTGAATTCTCACCAAATTATTCCTCTATGGCGTCGTATGTTTCGATTACGAACTGCGAAAGTCCCTAATGTACTTAGCATCCCAGACGTTATAATTTACAACTTTACCGATAAAATACCCCTTGCTGTTGGTACATAGCAGAGCAAAATTATGATGTGAAAATTTTTTTATACCTTATGTCACGAATATTAGAACAGAAGCGGTATGGATCATAAACCAACATATGACGTCAATGGCCACTAAGTAATCAAGTTTGTATTAATATTAAAATGGAAGTGTCAAAAAACTTCAAAACCAGCTGATACGGTTTTTAGTATAAGATTCGGGCTATGGCGTCATTTGTTTCTGTTGATGATAAAGTAAAATGTATTCAAGAATATAACACACAAATTATTTTTTATTATTTTTCAAGTATTAGCTCAAAGCAACTATATAACTAGGCATGATTAGTTATAACTCTAAAATCTAAGAACACGATACTATAGCTCAAATAGTGTTTTCCGGGCAAGCCAAACGAGAATAATCCACGTTATTTATCATTTTTCTAAACTTAACAAAAATTAAAGATCGAAGTTGAAAATACAAATATGAGCTGTGTCATATAATTTTATGGTACTTACGTATCATACGGAGGCCACTTATTTTACAGCGCGCTGCGGCGGTTGGGTTAAGTTGGGTTATCATAAATATGTTTGTAGAACTTTCCTAGTTTCGTTATGAATCGAACTATACGAGATGAGTCATAAAAACTTATGATAACCCAACCTAACCTAACCGCCGCAGCGCGCTGTAAAATAAGTGGCCTCCGTATAATACGTAAGTACCAATTTTATAAATAAACGTAAGATCCATGAGCTTTTAACTAAGAAAATACAAAGTCAACCTCTACGATCGGGGTGGAGGGGTTCCACCAGGATCGTAACTGACGTCGTTAAATCGGGGATGGTTAGGGCCTCTAATTTTAACGACACTCTCTCATTTTATTTCTTGTACGTGTGGCTTTATTATTTCTATCTTCATAAACTGGTCTGATACTCATAAATGATGTATTTGCTTTTGAAATAACCGTCGAAGTGAAGTAACGCTCAATATTCTTGTAAAATGACAAATTTAATCATTTGCAAATTTTACATTCTCTCACATCAATTTTTGTGACAAGGATTTTTGCGTTACGCTAGGTTCTAGAACGCAACTTTTTTACTCATTACAAAATACTTCAGGTTAGTCCTAGAGGGTCGCGGCATTATTACTTAGATAAACTCCATTGGTGATTGGCGGGATTTGAACCCTGGACCTCGGGTACCGAAGTCCCGCACTCTACCACTAGACCTGCTCAATTTAATTATGTTTGGAGACAATACATCAGAACAAACACAAACTCCTTTAGGTCTAGTGGTTTAGGTGCCAAAAGTGAAGATCGCCATAGGTTTAGGGTAAAAAACCCGTGTATGTTATATAGAGAGAAGAAAATAAAGGATGGATATTGATTTCTATGCTCACTCATACAAGTAAGAGGTAGCTATACTACTTCATTAGCCTGCCACCATCAAAAAGTTAAAATTCCTTTGTAGTTACGGCAGTTTTGGGGCATCAGTTTGGGAATTAATTAACCAACGATGTTATAAACAATTTACTAGCTGATATAGTTATAGCTTAAACTATATAGTTATCTTAGGTATGATAGATTTGAGCAATCCCAATGAGCAAAAAAATTGTAAAAAATTTTCAAAAGCTGTATTACATTAGTTTTTAAAAATTTAAAAACAATTTGATTTAATCTTCATATTACAGCAATTTTAAGATTGAAAAATAAATTTTTTGCAGTTTACAAACATAAGTTTTTATAAGAGTTGTAACTATTTTAAAACACGTTTCCTAACAATATTTTAGAGTCAATATGCTAAGCAAATGGAAAACGACCTGATAGCCCCGTTATGCCGTGTCAAGTAGCCGTTTTCGACATTGATAACTTATAACAAAATTTAATCTTCCATGATGTAAAAATTTATAACTTTTGATTTTCTCTGAATTTAGCTGTCCTGAAACCTGAAAAGATTCTCATAATGTATCAAATATGCACAAAGATGACCACTTTCTGAGTCTGCAAGTGATTAAGCTAGGAGAGCCTCCGTACATCAGCGAAAGCTTTATTACTCGTGGGATATCTGTCTACGACCTACGTAATAATCGCTCTGACCACAGGCTTCACTTCCCAAAGTCAGGCTTGAGGTTAGAAGAAAGTATTAACGTAAATAACAAAACTATCAATAACTATAAGAACAATGTATAAATAATATTAAAAAACGATTTACAATGATAAATAATATAATTATATAAATTCTGAATTGTAAAAATAAATACAACAATGAATCAAGAAATAGATTAATATTTACTGATTCTAATTAATACTGTTTTTAATTTTAATTTGAAATTGTTGATGTTGTCAGAGAAAATATCAATACTATTACATTTATCTAGTTTATCAATACACAACAGAATAGTAGTGTGTTAATAGGCTAGGTTGGATTTTATTTTTCGATTGATTAAGTTTAAAAAAAAGTTTGATGTAAAACTCACTTTTAAATTAAGTTATTATTAACTTTATTCATTTATCAAGTAAACACCTTTAATACTGACCGGGAACGTGCTACAAAAGAGTCCCGATTTAAACAAAAGCAAATGTCCAACTACATAAACTACCACGGTATTGCTTTAATTAGCCTCTCAATTTTAATAGCGACTAAGATTTATATAATTTAGTAGTATAAGTATAGTGAAGCACTATGGTCTGTACAGTGCTGCTACGGGTGGCAGAATCGCCAGTTCTCTAACTCTCTGACATGCGCCACGGCCGCCCTCGCCCGCCCGCCGCCGCCCCGGCCAGTGTAGGCCCGCCGCCCTCATAGACCATTAGTTCACGTCACCCATTCTTTCATATTTACGTTTTTCGCGTTCTTGAAGCTAAATATTATCATATGTAAGTATTTTGATTTAATTTTACAACTAATTAAACAGATTCAGTGTCGGAAGAATTGTTGTGATTAATTAGTAATTTAGTAAAAAGTACACATTTTTATTGTTTAGAAGGAAAAAAATCAAATACATATAATTAATGGATTTTAAAATGTTAAGATGTAGTTTTGTAGATAATAGGTACTACATGTAGTGTTGAAAATGACTAATTTATGATGGGAACTATAACATAATCTCTACTTCTGGTACAATAATATACGTGGTTCTTAAATTAAATTGTTTATATTAAAATATTATTGTGATTTATAGACAATTGACCGAGGTGTATAAATGTATACAAAATGTTTGTTTATTATGAAAACTATCAAGACTTAATTATAGCCCCATACGTGGTAGGACAAAATAGTATCCTACCATGTACTGTTATTATACGTTTCTATATAAAAATACACATACATTTTAATTCATTATATTTAAAAAATCAAAAGTAATGGAAGTAATAAAAAATAAAGTCTTAAATAAGAAAGTCTAGGGCATAAAAAGGGATAGAATTTATACTAATAATTAAATTTATGAATTAACATGAAATAAGTAATTTTACATTTCAATGTGATGAAATTCTATTTTTACAAACAAATTAACAACAAATTAATTAACAAATTAATTAATTAGAACAAATTAATACAAATTTTTGGGTCGAGGAAAAATAGCTCTGTATCGAAGACCGTCTTCCATTAAAAGTCATAGGACAATACATTTTTAATTTTTTTAATACATAATTTATTTTAATAGTAAAATAGTTAGCTGTCTGGTTATAGTACTCGCCTTACGATCAGAACTTTGACGGCTCCTCTTTAAAAACAGTCAGTAGGTTTTTGACGGTTTAAAACTGGGCCCCACTGTTCTTAATCATTATGATTTTATTGAACGATCCATAATTTTAATATATTGACAGATGGTCTTAGCTTGTACAAAATTTCCACAAGTTATCTCACTTCATTATTAATAATTTAGTTTTTTTTTAGGTAAACGTATGCTAATTTACGTTTTACTAAACTGGTAATATGGTAGTAATAATAATCTAAATATTGTTGTGTTTGAATTCGTGGTTTGTTTTGTTTACCCACGTCCGTGTGTAAAGGCGGGTAGCGCCAGCTGTGAGCTATACTGGGCACGCTGGAATTAGCCAAACTGGCTACGGAACCAAACATAACTCGGGAATTATAAACACAATGGCACAGTAGTCACGCTCACACATACATGGCTCAGGAATCAGTATCCTGGAATAGCTTACTTTTATATTATTGGTGCTTCTTTATGAGAAGCAAATTCGGATATTTTTAATTATCGTTATATGGAATTAAAATTTTAAGTCACATTTTCAGGGACGGTCTACCAACAGTATATAATTGTAGATTTTTCCAGGTGTAATGGCGTCATACGGTTAGAATTTTTGGGTCTCCGTTTCGATAAGATTTTTTTAGTTTTCGAAGCTACTTCGATCGTTTCCATATTGCAATATTTTCGAGGTTTGCGGAACAACAGTACAATGGACTAATATTTAAAAACATTTAATTTTGTTGTTTTATATACAACTGCAGTTTTTACGTTTTTTTATGACAACTTTCTGAAATTTATAATGCTATTGACAGAGAAAAAACCGTTGTGGTTGAATTAATCTACGTTCAGATACATACGTTACGCACAACGTGAGTTTTTAATAAAAAATAAAACTTTTTTCTATTTATTTGGGTTTTTAAATTCTTCATTCTTTTTCAATGTTATGGTTTATGCAATTTAATTTTTAATTTTATCATTTTTGTGATTTTATGTATTTTCTATTCTAAAATTCAATTTCAAAATTGTTGACGTGAATGTCACTTCTGGAAAAAATAAATCTTAAAAAAGTTAATATCACAGTAGATAACTTTTGCCATACCCAAACAAGATTTTCATATTGTTACATTTTTCATTAAAATTTCAGCGAAGCATATAACATGTTGAATTTAATGAAACGACCTTTTCAACGTTTAAAGGAAACAAATTAAAATTGATAATTAGCATATTTTTGATATTTTGAATTGTTTTTTGCACGTCTTAAAAAGTTATACATCATATTTTACCTAGTGAAATTTCAGCACACATTTATTTCTCAGTTAAACCTAAATCTTATGAACATAAAAATTGCAACAGTGAACAATTTGACCCTGAATTTTTTTAAACCATACACAAATAACCAATTAAAACAGTTAAACTACCAGTTTTTGTTACAGTTTCTAATAGTTTCAATTAACTGAAATATTTTCCCACCAAAGTGCACGTGAAATGTTATAGATTCAAACTATTGAACTATTGAATTGAATTTAACTGAGGATTTGTTTCATTTGAAGCCACAAGAAATTAAATTAAGCTTAAAACATAAAATGAATACATTTTGAAAAGAGTAGAACATTATTTCAACATCTTTCAACTAAAGACATAAACAATGTTAATCTATTTTACATTTATAAGGGGGGTCAAATCAACAAACTATTTGTATAGACTGGTTAAATTGAATTCCATTATAGATCACAAGATTTCTTTATATATAGAGGGTAACAAGTTTTTTTATTCCTAGGTTATATTTTTGTCAACTTCTTTTTCCATGTTCCTATATATATTTATATTTTCCGGCCTCCGGCTAGATTTAAATCATTATCATATTTCGGGCACATATTTATCCATTGTAAGTTATCATTTTTACGGAAGATTATAAATCAATACCAAATACCATAATATTAATTGCATTCTACAGGCCTTCGTTGATGGTGAAAAACCTATTATAAAATAGCTTATAATATTTAAATGCCATGAAATAAGTAATTTTATCCAAAAGAGTAGATGATATGTTACATTAAGCACTTGAGTCATCATACTATGATCAACTCACTACTATGATCTTACTGCTCAGTAATAGTGATATTTTTGATCGATATTTTTTATTTACACAAATTAAATTATAACAATTGTAATGGTGGCAGTGTTAATCTTAGTCCAACGATACTCAAGTCATTGGTCTTGGGCTAGTAACACTCCATCCGCTATCAGTTAAGTAAAAATTGTTAGGCAATAGTCAGAAATAAATTAATTGTTATTCACCAGATTGTGTTCTGGTTGTTTCTATTTCGTGGAAACATTTTAGAAATACTGAAAAGAATTCTTGTTGTATAGTTTTATTATTTAACTCTTGAAACATTTAATTGATTTAATGAATGGTTAAGGATTTCATGTCTATTTTATTGTATGTTGGATATACCTTCAAAGAATGGGTAAACAATCAGATAGTAGTACGTAAATAACTTAAATCGATCCAGCAAAATGCAACCTAGTTTAAAATAAACCCGCGTTATTATTCGCACTCTCCAAAAAGTAATAAATTTCATTGCAGCCACATTTTTAAACTACTACTTTATCATCGAGTAGTTTATCATATGTAATTTCAAACAAACGGACTTGATTTTCGCATTACATCATTTTATTACACCTAATAATAACAAAATGGAATAAAACAGTATCATGATATGCTTGTATTTAAACTATTTTGAGCTTTTGTATCGTATGTAAACTTTGAACTTTTGGTTAAGATTGCACATTTTATCAACTTTACACTTTATTTAACTCTTTCACGACCACTACAATTTCTTATTTTACGTTTACACTGAATTCAACAAGAAATCAAATAAGATCATGGTTTTTGTATTAATTATAATTGTTAATTTGTTATCTTTGACAGATAGTATGTATTAATTAAGAAAATGCAGGGTCCTAACGGAATAGAGATAATATGAAAACCAAGGTTAGTGAGTTTTCTTTACACTGCGCAAATTTGTGAAGAGAACGACAAATAGCACAGGGATGGCTAAACTGTATATTCTAATAAGCTATTATATTATTATAAAAATATTCTTTTCTCCACCAACAGTATCGTTGCTGACTCATGGCAATTCCTGCTTAGCACACACTAAAAGATGAATAAACAAAATATGCTTTAAAAGATAATTTTAAAAACAAGACTGATCAATTTATTACATTTTTGGCTGTTGGAGATGATTTTGTACAAAAAGGTTCATAACAAGAACAAACTATACATACACCAGAACCATAAACAACATAACATTAATCATAAGAAGTCTGTAGAACTCTATTTTATAACAAGATGAGTATTTTTCGTTAGTTTTTACACCATTGGAGATAATAATAAACAATAAATTGTGGTACAACCCTTAAAACCTTTTTTATGAGATGAAGGAAATTGTTTCCACGCTTTTCGCCCAAAATCAAATTCAAAGACAAATAATAGACACACGCCCCCATATTGTCGCATAGCTTTAGCTGTCATACTGAGCGTTATAAATAACCAGTCATTGTCACCACCCAGTTAAACAATCACAAAAGGTACATACGCAAATCTTACACTAATGTACCACAATGTTTTGTGGTTGTTACAGTTCAATGAATTGCAATGAGAACAGTGATCCACCCTTAAGTCCCCACATCGGTATCTACGGCTGGCGCAAGAGATGTCTCTACGTGCTCATCTTGGGGCTTCTGGTGGTCGTCATGGGGTCCTTCGTGGCCACATTTCTGCTCATCAGCGCCATTGACTTCAATTTGGTAAGCAGCAGCTGTAGCGTTGGAAAAGCATCTCGGGTTGAAAACAACATTTCTTCCCTAAAACGTCAATGGCACTTACACTCACTTAAACAAATATTTGATGAATATTATGTGTGGTAAAGAAATTGTTAGCTCCATATGACTTTTAAATGCTTTTTTTTGTGAATTTCTTACTTTAAATTCATCATTGGCTACTTTTCTCTACAGTAAGATAACATTTTATTATTTGAATTTACACATTAAAATGCACATTCTTGCCCACTGGGTTGCAGTGAAGTATTGCTATTCGTAACTATCCCATTGCCCTAACTGATCCCCTCAAGTAGCCATAGTCTTCATGGTGAGTCGTATACCCAGGTCCAATTTACTTTTTTGTTTTACGGCCACCGGAGGCCCAAAACAACGTTTATCAAACGTTCTCAATCACTCAGTTCTGCTTGAAAAAGAAGATATATTGTTCAAAGCCGATGTTACAAAGGTAAGGTATCAAAAGTAGGCTGTCTTCTATGTTACCCTTATGGAGAATGAATTGATATAAAGGTGTAAGGTTATATAAATATTTTATTTTGTAGCTTTTAACCCTACCTTAAAGTAAACTTAATTAGTAACTACTTAAATGTAGATGGAGAGACCCTACTGTAAAGTTATTTGTTGCTTTTTTTATTAATATCAAACCCAAATAAATCCATACAATCAACATGCCCCCAGAAATACCCAAAATGGCTGTAGATTCCTAATTTATATCATCTTTTTACCCTCCGATCTTTTTACAGTGATAGGGATATGAGAAAAGCTAGTTCATTCTTCTTCCTTCTGAAGAACAATTGTTGTTGGAGCGGAGTAATTAGATTGGCTTGTGTCAAGAACCTTTAGAGTGTTATGAACTCTTTTCTTGAGTTAGTTGTACGTCCATTCCTTTTTGTCAATGTATTCTTTTGCTGTGCTCTTTCCTCCACAAACTAACAATAGGATCAATAATTTACATTCTACGTACTTTACTGATGAAGATTCTATCCCACCTGTGTGTAGGGGGGCTTAGGAGACCTTAAAATCTCCAGGGACGGTGTACGACTGAGAGAGTTCAGTTACGTCCTGGCGTCCCTGGCAGCTTCTAGACTAACCTCCAAGACTCGGGAACCTCTGTCTTTCGAGTCCCACTACAATATGACCTTGAGTGTCACTGATCAGAACGGCCACCCCGAGCAGTCCCTGCACTTCTGGAGTGCGACACAAGATACCAGTAAGGCGTTGTAAATTATAGACCCATATCGATACCTTTAGTTAATGTTAACACTTTTATTATATATAAGTAGACACTTGTTGTTCTTAAACACAGTATACGTGTATTTTAACGTAATGAAGAGCGTGAACTTCCACAGCAGTTTTCCAACAATATCCTAATGGCTTAAGGATTGAATATTGTTCATGCACTTCAATATCATACCCTACTCCTTAGTGAAAGGTGCAGTTCCATGCGGTATTAAAGAATAGTACAATGCGAACTATTCATTCCTGACTTAGGAGTAAGGGCGTGAACGTTGGTCTGAATATTAAATCTTGTTATGTCTACAAAACGTCGTTTTCTTACATCAACCAATCAACAAGCCTCAAACCAGAAGTCACGAGGATTTAACCTTACTTTAACGTAGTCTACTATTATTCGAGAAAAAATCATTAGATGCTGGATACGGTTTAAATAAACATGTGTGTATATTTTTCTTTTGACTAGCAGCATGCGTCACTTCGTGACTTCAAGATCCGTGATATATTTGAATTAATTTACAGTTTTCTTTTGCATCATCATTCTAATCATCCTTATTATTTGTATTGCGTTTTGTATTTATTTAATTTTCATTGCGTGTGCGATATCTTCGAGGCATCTTAGAAAATTACAAATAGTAATGAAACACACCATGAAAACACAAAATCTAACTTCAAATAATACTTTTCATTGTTATATAAGCTGTTTAAATTTACATTAAAAATGAATTTTACTAGGCCTATACGGTTTGCATAAAATCGTAATAAGTATTAGTAAGTACACTAAGCTTATGTTAAAGTTTCGTTTCCTTCATCATAAAAATATATGTACAGTATTCGGCTCGGAGTCTGCTCTTAATAGTTTTGTTTACCACGCAAAAAATGTGATTTCAACGTTATCCTTTATTAATGTATTTAAAAATTGTGACCATATGTTTTTGTAGAATTAAACTGTTTATGAGATTTGAAAGAGAAGTAGTCATGTTCCGAAAATAGTAATGTAATAATAGTAGTTAGTAGACCCGTAGATTTACGACGACAAAAGGAACGTTATTTTATATATCATAGAAAAATATTAGATTGAAAATACTGTCATGTTTTAATTAATCGAGTGCTTATAGTCCGTGAGGTCGACGAAGGACTCTGAGGGATTAACGTCCCTACCACCAACGCACGCGCACTCACCAGCAGGGCCCTACCTACCCCACGGCAAGTGACCCATGCGTGTGTGTGTAGGTGTGTCTGTGTATGTGTGAGGGCTGTAATCCCTTAGAGTCCTTCGCCGACCTCACGGACTTTAGTTGTGTCGGGTGTTAAGCTGGCCCGTTGTTTTTTTACCAGCCATAATGTCAGGACTATGTTTGGTTGACAGACAGAAGATATTTGGTGGCCGAAGCATCTCAGTTCCGTGTCAGCGACCTGAGAGGAAGAACTCTGTTCACCGCACAGCCGGGCCAAGTGACCGTCGGCACGGATAACCTTCGGGTGCTTCAGGGTTAGTATTCATAGATTAAACATATTTTATCATAATGTTGTCATAATTATGGATCATCTGAAGCCAATTTTAAGGTTAGTTTCGTCCGGTTCATGGTTCATATAGAAGGCATTTTGTTCATTACTATTAGCTTCTTGTCTTTCAACTTATTTTAAGCATATTTCAACCAAAACAAACGATCTATCTTGATAAATATACATACAGCAATAGCTTTCCCTTTAAGTAAAGTACAAATGGTTAAATCTACCCTAAAACAAAAGAGAAAAACTTGTTCACCGTAAACATGGAACACAAAATATAAATTTAATCAGACTTGAGAGTTTACGGTGGGCTGAGAAGTCTACTTCAGCATTTAAAGTCAAATGTTTATATTATGTGTTATAAGTATTTCTTGGATAAAACCAATAATATTTTCATCGATGTGGTGTGAGCACGTTCAGTTATACGTAACATATATCAAACTTTGAATTGATAAATGACAAAATCAATAAATGGCCAAATTAATAAATGAGTCAACTTTGATTCCGCCGCAACTTATCGGAATTCCGTTCTGAAGCATCTAGTGACCAATATTATCCACGCAAATTTTAACATAGTACTACCAACTTTTCGAGTGTACCAATTTAGTATCATCAATTTGAAAACATTCTTGTATTCCTAGGAGGAGCCCACTTCTCTGGCAGTGTTCAGACTGCAATGCTGAGATCCAGTTTAGGAGCTGAACTAATGTAAGTAATAATTATAATAACAAATCAAAGCGACACATATTTTCCTAGGTTTATAGTGATTGTTTTGTACGCCAAACACACATCTATTTACTGTGATCCATTAGGTAGATCACTTAAGTAATCCAAGTAATATTAAAATAAAATGAAAATGAATGTAGACTTCTTTTGTAAGAGTTAATTTAAAACAAATGTAAAACTAAATTTTACGATATTAAAAATAAACTTTTAATGCTTTCTACAATATTTATATATTTAATGTATTTATTTATGAATTCTAATAAATAACATCTTACTCTATGCCAGGCTGGAGTCTGCGACAAGAAGGCTCCATGTGATGGCTCCAGCAGGAGTTTCTATTGAGAGTAGAGGGGCTGATATCAGTGCTTCCTGCCTCACAGACCTTCACTTGTCATCTGTAGATGGAAGAGTAAGAAAATTGAGATAGTTATACAGTAGTTCATTATTTATTTACCTCTTGTTTTATTTGATGATATTCGTTATGATAGTGCAGTGCATTTAGCGTGAGGAAAATTAGCTGTAACGCTTATAGTTTTAGTGAAAATTGTAAAAGATTCCGTATGAAGAGGGCTACGTTTCTTTTGGGACTAATAGTAATACGTTTAGCAATTTTTAACACAACCTATTCTTCACCATCTGCTTGATAATTGGTGTATTCTACTGATATTGATAATCTGGTACCCTATTGAGTGCATACGTATGGCTCTGCATACAAATATGCAAGGGAAAATATTTGTTAAAGGCTTTTTCAGCCTATAACAGCTAGGAAATTGTTAAAACATACAATTTTACAGAAAATAAATCACTACGAATACCTAAGAAAACTTGAATGGTTAGAGGTTCCAAAAAATGCAACCCAGTTAATACGGCTTTAATGGCAAGATTGTTATTGTTGCGAAAAAATCAGAAGTTTTTAATTTTTCTCAAATAAAATAAAAATACAGTGTCTTCCAAAAAAGGAAGATGATAGATGATAAAAAAATTCTAGCAAAACAGTGTTAAACTTAATTAACGCACAAAATAAAACCATGTATCGAAATAAATAGTTGATAATAAATGATTTAATTATTTCAATTAATAATGTAAGAAATATCTTCCAGGAAATAAACATCGATGAGCTGAAAAAGCCTGTGCACTTTCTTAGTCACAACATTATTTTAACCATTGTAAAATCAACGAAGGAAATATAACAAATGTTTCCATAAATCTTGGAAAGGATTTTCAAACTTTTTGTTTCCAGATAAAACTGAAGTCGCCTGGAATCTATATCCCCAACCTGGAGAGCATTCCTCTTCTGCAGCCTCAGCCTTCTAGGTACATCCACCTGGAGTCCAGTACAGGGTCCAAGCAGTACCAGGTCTGCATGTGCAGCAACGGGAAACTCTTCATCTCCAAACCTAATGGAGAATGCAGTGTCAACAATGACGGGAAACAGTGTCATTGAGCATGGTTGAGAGGATAGGCTATTCTACCTCACTCTTCGGTGGCGAGAGAGCCCTGCGTGAAAATCGGTCTCTAGTTGGTGAAGTCAGGAGCCCAATAACAGATTGTAGGGACCGTAGCTCGTTGTGTATATCAGAATTATCACTGGTGAATTGTATCGTACGAGAACTAACTGCAATAGTATAATGAACACTGAGATAAAGACAGAGAGTGCTACAGCTGCAATTGTTTTTATGTATATAAAAGATTGAAAGTAGGCCTAATTTATTTAAATCAAAGTCTGTCGTTGAAATGAGTTGATTATACGATTTTTGTTCCTGATCAACAATTTATTTTCTAGAGAAACCAGATACAAACTTATCTGTTATAACATTGATTTCTGTTGGGTGTGTATGAGCACTCACCAAATAAAGGTGGATTGTGTAGTCCCATTCTAACTATTTACCAAACACATATTTCCTCCCGTGACGATATGAAATTCCTTTTTAATAACCCCAACCGGTCCCTCAATCCGTCCATAGCTTTTGTTTGGGCGTCTCAAGCTCCTGTCCAGACCGCTATTCATGTTGAATAAACTAATTTTTACAAATGAATCCACAGTGGGTGGAAAATGGTATTTTAAATCAACACAGTGCGGCGATATTAAATTTTAAGCAATTGAAACGAATTTATCGTAATTCATCGGCAAGTCAATTTGTTCTTGTATATAAAAAAAATTGTAATGAGAACCAATGTTGTACTGATTTATTGCGTTAGTCGTTCTAATGTAGTCTTAGATCTACTGAGTATTACGATTATATGCCTTCACACATAACCCTGACGAGGATTAAAGTTATATCATATAGTCATCAGGGGACATAAAACATTACAAGTAACATGATAACAAGTATTATATGACAGTAACACTATTGACAAGTAGTATATTTGGTACTCTAAGATAAATTGTATTATTTATTGACTGTTAGTGGTTAATGCTGTAAAACTATGTAGTATATTGTTAAAACGATGTTATTTTTTAGATAAATAAAGAATTGTTTTATAAACGACTGATTAAATTTACATCACGGAGGCTGTTTTGGTCATTTTCAAAGTCAGGAGAATGTCTATAATGTTTTAAACGGTTTAACCTTTAAGTACAATCAGCTCTAAATGAAACGACATTTGCTATGCAGAGTTTATATTTCAATTGTTGTTTTGCATGGTTTCTTTACAATTCAAGTTTAAACGGTCCAGGTTCTGAATCAGATTTGGTTCAGGTTTACCAAGTGATATTTAAAGATATCAAACATTAATGTGATTTTATATACAGGGTGTCTCGTAAGTAAACAGCCAAACTCCCGGAAATGGTTTTATGGGTCTAAATAAAGAGAAAATCAAAAACCAAAATTCTAAAATTGGTCTTTTCTACCTTAAACTACATACCAAGTTTTATAAAGATCGGTTAAAAACATTCAAAAATAAAAATGTTTATGTCAAAAATACAAAATGGAGGGGTTAACGAAACATTTGGGAAACAATGTTATTCCTGATTTTCTCTTTATTTTGACCCATAGAACCATTACCCTGTTCAGTTAGGCTGTTTACTTACGGGTCATCCTGTATATTTTCAGATTTGAACCCATGAACCTCAGTTTTGGAACGCCCTGTAATTTGATTACCTACGACAGTTTTAAATGGATTCCTCATATATGGTTTTTAGTGAAAAATAACCTTACTTCAAGACTGTAAGTCAAACCGTTCTCTCGTTATAAGCGAAACTATATTTTAGTTCTCGCAGGAAAGAAGTGTAATGTTCTGAGAATATATACACCCCGGCTAGATGCACCACCACCATCAAGGAGGACCGATGTCACCAGGTATCAATCGTTGCAAAGCGAACGTATACACTATACACTTATAGTACTATACAGTCTTTTGACGCTTATACCTCGGTGGCGACCTTTGTTCTCCATTTTTGTTTTTAGTTCTTTCAATTCGAATTTCAATTCAATTTCATATATTTTTCCAATATTCTCTTCATCATCTGTTTTAACTATACTATAAATTAATTTATTATTGTAAATATTTACTTTTTGTATTAGTTTAAACACAGCCTGACGATGGAAACATAGTTTCTGAAAGCGCTTGTGGATTAAAATAATTTATTATATATTGGCCTTGTTGAACTTTTAAATTTAATTATACATTTCACTATTCATTGCCAATATATCCAATATAAGTTAACATTTTACTTTGATTTCTACTTTTTCGCACTCCGGGTAACAACTGATCATTACACAATTTTCGATGATTTTATTATTGATATTAAATTAATATTATCTGATATTTATATTAATCAGCAGGAAATGGGCCGTATGAAGATTAATTTAATTCTTACATGTATAATTTTATGAATAAACATAATTACCAGAGTTTTAGTTTAACGATGAAGTGATTTATTAATTCATGGAGACGATTATCAGTATATAGGCCTAAATGGAGGTTATTTTTGTTTGCCGAATTTAACAAATTAACTTTATAGGCCTAGCTCTAGTAATTAAATTCATAATATAAATTGAGGTTTAGGTGCAGTTTAATGTTTCGGCGGTCTTCAAGTAAAAATAATTAAATGTGTGCTAAAGTAAATAGCTTAATAACTTAACTATTGTGCTAAAGAGACAGTGAATAGATTTTTTTCTGAACATGGAAAAATTGGTTCATTGGAAGTAATATGACATAAAAGTCATCCGTGATTCTAGAGGTTTTAAGCGTGTGATTGTTCTGCAGCCCCTGGTTCGAACCCCACTGTATAACTGTAGATACGGATGTTTACTTCTCTTCTGTAGGAACTCCTAACTAGGATTAAAAGGTCAAGCCACAGCAGCTGCACTAAAACTATAGGGGTAATATTTCTAACTCTTCAGTAAATTAAACTATCAACGTTTGATTCATCCCAAACGTATTAGAAGAATATGCTAATGTTGGATTCAGTGGCGTCATTTCACCTAATCCTTGGGGGGGGGGCAAACACTGGGGGTATGGGGGGTACGGAATACCCCCCAGCAAACAAGGGGAGTCCGGGGGTCCCCCCGGAAAATTTTGCATTTTTGAAACAAAAAAAGAGGGGTTTCAAATAAAAAAAATTATTAGTAAAATTTATTTAAATTTAGGCAGAAAGTTAATGAAACTAAAACTATTGACAACAGACAGAAACACAATAATTTTATGTTGGTAAGTTAGTCATCTAAGAAACGTGATCAATAGTTCCATGATGTATTATGATATTATGTTTGTTATCATAGATTCATGACCAATTTCTCTTGTACAACATTTAGCAATGAATACGGTTGTTCATAGCCTATAGTTTATAACAGTTTATTTTGGTTTTTAAATAAAATACAAGTATTTAAGAACTTAAAAGCAAATCAAATTTTATCACCAATAAAATAATTTGACACAAAAGTACAAAAGGCTATTTAACTATATTAAAGTGGTAGTCTACAATGTTCAAAATAAATTACGTAAAATTTATACAGATGTATAATTTTAATGCTTAAATAATTCATAAAAGTAAATGACAAAGCAATGCTTCTAAAAAATCTGAATTTTTATGTATATAAACTAGAAGTAAGTGGTTTATCGTACAGCACCAAACAGAAAAAGTAAATGAATAACAAAACTACTAATTTATGTAAACTAAAAATGTGCTATCAAAGACAATAAAACGATAATAATTTTTGTTTCAAATTACTGTACAAGAATATACAGATTTTTGTCTGCTGTGCTTTTTAGGATTTGACAGGAGAAAATATTTGTATATTGGCTAGTACAGCATATTTTTTTCTCCAGCCCAGGATCCAGGGGGGGCAAATGCCACCCCCTGCCCCCCCAAATGACGCCCCTGGTTGGATTATGAAGAGTTTATTGCTCTTAAAATACAAAATACAATTCTGGAATTGGTCAATTTTTGATGAATTTAGCAGGTCTATTCTTAATATATTTTAAAGTGTTTTGTGAAAGTAAAACTTAAAACTGCTGGGTGGGGACAGGCTGTCAACATTGTATCTATAGAAAAATCATTACGTATGTGTTACTTTTGTTTGTCACAAACACATCAGATAGCATATTCACTTCTTGGTAGATAGTGGAAATAATTGGTATAAATACTCTATACTTAATAAAACATCTTTTAAGTTCTGGTTAACACTTTTGTGTGCGGCTTAACACTGTTTATCTTGCTGTTATAAAAAATGTTATATTTTATTGCTGTAAATAAATATCATATTCACCAAATTGTGCCAATGTTTCAAACGATGCTTAAGCAAGATTTTAACTTGTAGTTGATTTGGTTTCATCATGCACATTTCACATTTTCCAAGGGTACGAAATAAAATTATGCTTCATGAGTGAGCACAGCAAAGTTTGAATTTAATACTTTTGTAGTATAATATCGTAGACCTAGAAACCTGCTTTTTTCCTTCTTCAAAGTTGTCTATATAGAAACAGTGACAAGAAAAACGCACATTTTGAGGAATTGGAGAGATAATCAGATAAATCTACCGTCCAAGAATAGTAAAAATAGTTTTAAACTATTTTCAGTTTAACAAATCATAACTTAGGGTAATTATTTTGTCAAAATAATAAGTTAGATAAACAACTATGGTCTTAGTTAATTGAATATGATTTCAAGGAAATATCATCGTGACAACTTTATCCAAGGTTAGAAGGTAGCGGGGGAGTGAGCTGGTCTAGTGGTTAGAGCACGGGACTCAGTCCCTGAGGTCCCGGGTTCAAATCCCACCAAAACGCCAATGGATTTTATCCAAGTGATAATGCCGCAACCCCTAGGTCTAGCCTGAAGTAATGTGAAAAACATCCCAGGCTCGTGCCTAGCGTCCTATGAAAAAATAGAAGGTAAAATGAATATAAGCCTAACAGTTGTCACGATGTATCGAATAGCATTCTAAAGTTTAAAGTGAAAGCTATTTCTCTCGGCATGACAAAAAGTTTCCCAATACAACTTAGTAAATAAAACACATTGCTCCCTTGGAAAAAGATCTACTTGACAACAAGTATTTACAAAATCTTTACTGAAAAATTGTACATTTGTATAGTACTTTACTTATTTAGTGGGACATAAATTAGTAACAGTATGTTACAAATAATTAAGGTTCACTGAAGTTTTAGTATTACATCAGTATCAGACAATATATTTTACTAGGTACTCTATAAGTTTCTGATAAAACCAATTAGTATACTAAATTTAATCTAATACACAATTAAAATTTATTAAAACAATCTATGTTTAAATAAAGCCTTCAAAACATTTAATCAGTTTTCTCATTTGCATTCAAATCGAGTGCTACAATCAATTACGCTTCCAGTAATCAAGTGATTCCTCGGTAATTGAAGTTTTAAGTGTTAATGTAAACAATATGGTAGACTGTATTGTATACGTTGGGGTAAAATGTTTGTACTGTACTAAAACTGTATGTAAATCAACCTTATGTATTCTTCTACATTTTAGAACTTAAAGCATGCTTAATCTTCGCATTGAAATTACTAGTACGTAATACAGTATAATATTTATTTCAATCAATATAAGTTACTAAATTGATGAATCATAAACTAAAAACCTGAGTCCAATAGAAAATCACCAATGTCGGTTTTGACCCTCAAAACAATAAATAATTATGTATATTAGGCCAGAAATCAGAATTCTACCAAGGCTAGCTTGGGAAATTATGAAAATAAAACTATTCTACGACTATCATAGCACAATATATCCTTACCTAACATATATAAAGGTTATATCTGCTCTCATGAGCATTTTTGTAAACCTAAACACAATTACTATATATACTAATTTGGGTGAGCGATACTGTATTAACTACATAATATTACTTATAAAGGTATAAAAAAGTCATAAAATTATTATATTTGGAGAAATAGATATACGGTAACAAATGCCAAACTGTAATACCTATTTTTCAC